CCTCTCTTCTCCCTCTTCTTCACAAACCGATCCCTAAACCAGCAACAACAACACAAAAATAGCCTTCGCCTCTCCCGTCTCCATCTATTGAACGCGTTGGTGGCAAGACAGGACTGCAGAAGCAAAATTTTCTAAAATCAAACTAAATTTTTTGAAGCAGACTCAACCACGAAAAAAGAGTAAAGCAACAATGCAGTAGAACCCTAAATTTAACTACAATCAAGCACATATCAGCAAGATTTTCGATTTGTCTGAGAGTTAACTACACGGAGAGAACAATTGATGCATAATTGAAATGCTCCAAGCAAGTTGAAGGCAAACCATAACTTTAGAATTTGGTCATTATAATAACCTTCAAGTATTGATGCTTCTAAGAACTATCATGTCCAACCCCTACTTATACAACTACGTAGCCATAGTAATTAGTTGTATAATGAGAAATATTACAAAGAAAACTACATAAACAACCAATGTAAGTAAATATTAAAACTAACAACTGATAAAACTTAAAATCTCTCTATTGGTATAAATGTATCTATTAGTAACTACTATGCAATCGAGTATATATGATTTTTAGGCACTGAATAAGAAAAGTATAGATGGCTCACAAATGAAGACGTAGCAACTGAAGGTAGCACACAAAAACCAAAAATAGAAAAAGAGATAAGAAAAAAGGCGAGAAAAAGTCAAACAAAGAAAAAGCCTTCATAGGAATACCTCGCTAGCTTTAGGGACTCTCTGCCACAACAAACAACCTTCTTAAAAATCTAAAACCCTGAGACATCAAACAAACCTCCCACGACACTAATGTATGACATTCCTATTGTCCAATAGGTTTGCCCAATTTAGACTTCTAAATAAATGGACTTTTCACCATTAAACCAAAACTCACAATCATTAACAGTTAATGCAAAGACATACATTTCTGAGGCCAATCACAGCATTTAAGCATAATTTTTAGTTGAAAAGAACAACTAAGTATTTAGCTAAATGATATAGTAGAATGGACACAATCTGCTACCTACTAATGATATAAACGTGTACCGGTACCATCGTTGTATCCTGACTTGCCATTTGCAACGGGCACTTTGAAAGACAGCTGCATTTTAGAGAACAAACACCCATAAGGGCGTTACGAAACCAAGCTTAATCCAAAATCTTCATATTCCACTTCGAAGACTCCATTTTCAAAAATAAGAGAGTTTAACATGTCAAATCACTCATTTGAAAAATCTCAAACAACTATTAATCAAGGCAATATAAAGGCACGTTCCAAATTATGTACTTGTAGGAATAATCCCAAATAATTATCAATTAATGCCCCAACTATCTAATGTGCAGAATAGCCCTGGAGCTGTGCTGTTGTTTGCGTTGGTCTACCTTCAAACATAACATAGTTGCATCACGAACCAAAGCAATTAAGCAAAAATCTTCATATTCCAAGTAGAATGACTCAATTCAATTTGGCCAACGCTTTATACATATTGTTTACCCCTGGACCTGTTGCACTTGCGCCTTCAGATCTTCGTGAACACAATACAATTGCGGAGAGGAGGCTGTCAACGGAATAAAAATTGTTAATTAAGTGAATCACCATACAACTAAACAAACGCGCTCTTCTTGATTAGCTATCAAAATAGTGGGGGTCGCTACAATCCATCGGTTGCCCCCTCTGCGCTTAAGTTGTAGATATTAGGTTTCAGTGAGAACTTTGAGTACATGAGGAGATATTTTGTAGTGGAGGAGATGACCCGGCGAGTAGAATAGGAAGATTTGGAGAGGTTGCGATGGGCAAAGCAGTTAAAATCGAGATTTTACCTAAAATCGAAAACTGGGGTAAAATCAAAATCGTATAATCGAATCGTAAAATCGTAGGATTTTAAGTACCATATAGAACATAGCATATAAGAATATTAATAAGGTAAATTATTAATATCACAAAGACACATAGCATTTAAAATGATAATTCGGAAGATTTTTTTTCCATAAGATAATTCTCAAGATTAATGTTCCAAAATCACTATTTTAATTGTTATTTAATGTGTAACTCAAAATAATTCATGATGAAGGGATATAGTTCATGGGTTTGGCTCTTATTTTCATATTATGTCTAGGTTGTTTAACTCAAAGTAATATTTCGACATCGTCTACTAAGTATGATTTAAAACTAAAAATAATTGAACTCCAATAAAATAAGTAATGTTAGTGGCTTGGTACAAATATATTCATTAATGAATTAATTAGTTAATAATGATGTTAGTTCTTACATACTTCCAATATTAGGGCAGGTGTTTTACCAATAAGTTAAATGGGGTGAAGGGAAAGAGATTAACCGAACCATAATTTGGTTATTTTTATTATTTTTGAATATTTTTCTAATAGAAAAATATCTGAGAAGATTCCATTGCCCTTTCCGCTGAAACAGTTATACTTATTTTAAATTGGCTCAAACCACCTATTTTGTTCTCTTACGATCAAAATCCCGATTTCGGTACTATTTTACGATTTTAGTCCCGATTTTAAACGATTTTAAGGTCCACCGATTTTATAGTAAAATCAAGATCGGAATCCCTAAGTAAAATCCTAAAATCCTACGATTTTACGATCAAAATCCCGAATTTGACTGCATTGGCGATGGGTGCACGATTAGTGGGCCAAATAACAGTTTGGGCCCGTTTAAATGAAACATATTTTTACTTTCGTGCTCAACAGACCGACCACACTGGCATCTTCTAAATTTACCCCTAAAAATTGCTCTGTACGCATCAAATTTGAAATGGAATCCCTCTTTTCTCATTTCACATTTCACATTTATATGATGTGTAGATTGTGATGAGTGTAGATGTAGACCTGTCATTGTCCTACAAATTCATTAACACACCAAAAAGTGGTGAAATGAGCCACCCTATTAAACACAATCTTGCATAATGATCATTGGATCCAATCATGCCAGATTATGAAGAAGTTTAAAATGTAGCGGTTATCCCGACTAAACCATTAAAAGAACCAGTCTCATATAGTTTGCACAAAGATATAATTTCTCCATAGTAATTCTGAAAAATAATATTAATTTAAGAAGTCGATATTGCTTCTACTTTTTTAATATTGCAATTCGATATGCAATATTCGAACCAGTGATATTTGGGCTGCAATTTTAGGGTTATTGTATATTTATAAAATAGATAGAAATTTAAATTAAGTATTAAACTACAACTAAAATAATCAAAGTATTAAAACACCAAATAAGTACTTACGGGAGATTTAGTGGCCAACTAATCGTTAAAAAAGTCATATGATTTTCATAATTTAGGTTCGTGTGTGTTTGAATTTAAATAGATACAACAAATATACTTAGTGTGATTGGTTATGATCCTTGCTTGCCTTTAAATGGACCAAGGTTCAAATCCTAGTTCATGCCTTTTTTATGAATAAATAAATAAGAAAATAAGCAATTGTGAAGACCAAAATGTCCTTCCTATAATCACTCTCGTTGCAGGAAATTTGAAATAGAGCAACAGTTTTCATCATTCGGCTTTTATTTATTATCTAGATTACTCCATTTTTGTTTTCTTTTTCCCCCCCTCTCCTTCCTTTGGGTTTCGTCAAGGTTGTCAACCCGGTTTAATTCATTGAGCTGGTCAAGTAAGAGGTTTGAGATTTAATGGTCTGATCAGAATACGATCGGTTTGAGCCGTTTTCTAAATATATATACAAATAAGGTAGTGATTAAAAATTTAATGAATGAATTAAAATTTATCTTACATGTATCTATTAAAAACTTATTTCCCACAAAATAAATCTATTTAACCTCCACGATCCACCCACCATTTCTCTTCCTTCGTTCCTCTTCCTCTCTTCAGTGGCGGATGCAGCATTTCAAACCACCCCTGTCCTCTTTTCATAACTTAAATATAGAAGTATCTAATAAAAGAATTATTTAATAAAAATAATTATTCCAAATAATCAATTCATAAATTAAAAATAACCGATTATACTATCATACTTTTTAGGATCAACTACGAAGGAATTTCATATAGTGAAAGAAGCGCAAAAACATTTGTTGTCTACACTATTATATAAGTCTCTTTCAATGTATCTTACTAAACAAGTATTAGCAAACTGGTCGCCAAATCGACTTGGAAACTTGTTCTTAATATAACTCAAAGCTGAAAATGCTCTTTTTACACTTGCAGTTGTAATTGGTAGATCAAAACTAGCTGAATTGCCATTGTCGCTAGACAATTTCAGGGTTGTTGGGGAAAGATCGAATAAGCATAAGGAGAAAAGAGACCCGATTAGTTCTTTATTGCAATTGGAATTTCGTTTATTGTATAATAAATTAATTTTATGTCAATTTTGGACAAGTAATGAGTTGTGTTGTAGTGACAAAGTACTGTAATACTACCTATACCTGTTGTGTTCCATCACCAATATAAATATATATGGCGTATTTTTGTTCCATCGAAATATACCCCTGTCCCGGGACAAGGCCAAAAGGCCCTGCCTCCGCCACTGCCTCTCTTCTTCTCCCTCTTTAGGGGTCAGACCGGGGGAGCTTTCTGGAGGCCGTTTTAAAGTCCGACTCGAGTCGGACTGAGTCCAACTGACCGGTTCGATAAGGGTTTAATAACCTTTGGTTTCATAATTTTGATCGAAAAAAAATTATGAAACCAAAGGTTATTAAACCCTTATCGAACCGGTCAGTTGGACTCAGTCCGACTCGAATCGGACTTTAAAACGGCCTCCAGAAAGCTCCCCGGTTTCATAATTTGTTGTTGTTTATTGCTTAAAATATCATGGAGGGACATTGCCTTTGTCCTCTTGCGTCTTGAGAGAGGTTTTGGAGCCCAGACCCAAATGCAGTTTAATCTCCAGGCCCACTAATAAACGAACTGTAGTGGATCACAGGGAGCTGGCGGAAAGAAAGACCAGCCCGCGAGAAATGGGCTTCAGATGGATAAATTGGCCCACCATATATATATTTTCAATTTCCCGTGTGTCTGTTTTCTGTTGCCTTGGCTGCAGTCGCCGGCGGTGAGGTGATCCAAATAGCATCGCCGCTCAATTCCTTTGATCCGCCCGCCTACTGAACGGCGCCGGCGGCGATGGGTAGCGGAACCTCATAGTACGAATCACGTCTTCCAATCTCTTACATGGCCCGGCCGATAACGGACAGTTGGCCGGCGATGGCCCGCCGCACCACTCCCATATTCTCCCTATGTAGGGAGAGAGAGAGAGGGTTGAGTTATGATGCGGCGGCCGAAATGTGCTGGCCGTCAATCGGTTGGAAACCGCAAATTGGCAATTTTACACGGCGGGAAAATGAGGATTGGAGTCGCAGTTGCCGAGATTAGCTAGGGTTTTGGTGTGTTCTTCGTGTTGCAGTCGAGAACGTCCCGCTGAATGGAATGCTAAATTTGGGATTAGCTGCACCCACCTCTTTATCTTGTTCGAAGAAGGCATCATATCTTACTGGTTGATTTGATGTGAAGCTTATCTAGTTTTTCTCACCTTGAACACGTTGCTCGCTTTCTTGATTCTTCATCATGCCATTCCAGAGAAGTAGAAGAAGGAGAGACGTCTGGATTCCTCATCATCTCTGGCCAGGTGTGTCTCTCAGAATTGATCATGACCGTTCAATATTTCTGCATTTTGGTAAATGAAACTGTTGCTATAGGATGTTAACTAGTTTCTTCGATCCTCCTGACGAATTGATGTCATTCATGAAATTGGGTTTCTTGAGGGGGGTGAAGATACACTAATCCAATCCTTTTGTGGCAGTAAAGTTGATGGAAGTATGCCATCAACTTGAAGTGCTTTTGCTGTTTGTTGGTGTGGTTTCGGTAGGACTAGTTGCGACGTTGTTGATTCCATATGATACTAAGGGCTGTGAATTGACAGAGAGCATAGCAAGTACAAAACATGACAAGCTTCACGAAGAACGCCTGAAACGATCTACAAGCTCAAATTCCTTTCCGCAGCAGTGAACGAAATTTCAGGCAGGGCATCACTATGATTCCACCTTGTTTCCCCCTGATTTTGTGGATAATTCAGTCTCTAGTTTCTAGAATTCATTGCTGTTATGTGTTTCAGTTTGAGACATTAGTTATTAGCTTGTCAGATGCAAAGAAGATGCAGTAAGTTCGCTTCTTCTGTCATGAGAATCGATCAAGTTTTGTCTGGAGAAACTCTTCCTACTCCCAAACAGACTTGCAAAGTGGTATCCAGTAGTTATGATGGCAGCTTTCATAATTTGAGGAATGATTGGTTCTGTGGTATTATTGTGGCAGACCCCTACTCATGTGCTCCACTTAGAAGAGATGATACGTGAAGAGTAAGGGCTGCACTAATTTTCCAGATGCTACTTTCTATTCATTATCTGATTGCTGTTTGTTTGTCCAAGTTGACAGGATGTCTGTTTCCACTGCTCTGTGCTTAGTGAAGTACAATTTGTGGCTGGCTGGCCATGCCACAGTCAACAATGGCGTTTAGCATCAAGTCTCCATAGTCTAAAGTAAGAAAGTGGAGTTAGTGAGTTGGTGTACTCAAATTTAAAAAGCTTCTTTATGAGCTTTCTTATAGTTTTGTCTCACAACCACGGAATGTAGTGTGGTGACTGGTGATTGCTTGCCTCGTCCATTAATTGTATAGCCAGAGGTTTCACAGTAATAAAGTTCATTTCGTGGTGAGCCTTTATTGTCAGAGGTGGTAGGGCAGTGGAGGACAAGAAATGTTGCCACCAAGTCACCAAGTCACACTTTACTAGGGCGGTGAAAGAGCTTGGGTCGCATAGCACGGTTTTGATTTCCATCCCCTCCCTTGCATCATCATCATCATCATCACATTCACACGGTTAGCGCACTTCTTCTGCATCTTCTATTTCACTCCGACTTTCAATTTATTAACTTTTATCTTCTTGTTCTTCGTATTACTGACCGAGTGAGTGAGGAACCCAAACTTTGACTGACAATGACTTTCTTTGTCAGCATCTCTTTGTACAATTGTACATTTCCTTCTTCTAGGAATCTAAGGGAGACGATGATGATGATGCGTTATTAAAGAAATTAACGAGTCACCATCCTTCAGTTTATGTTTGCATTATTGCACTTGGAGTATTTATCGTAATTAGAGGAGGGAGGAAGTTGGGGGTCGTCAACTGTGGCGGCCGACTTCTTTCTTTCTTTCTTGCTATGTGCTGATTGCTAGTTTGGACCTACAGTGTTGGTCGTCGATTATGGGTGGCAATGAATGATTCTCTTTTTTGACAAAAATTCCACATGCTCTGTCTCAATTACGAGGCCCATTTCTTCATGCGAGGATAGAACGGTGGAACGTAAGGATGGGAAAAGGTTGCAGAGCAGTATTATACTACTATTATTATGGTAGTTTGACTAGTTTAATTGCGTCACCAATAATAATACCCTCCTCTTCAATTTGTCTTCTTCCACCTCCCATGATCCCATCCATGTCGAAGAAGAATAAAAAAGTCAACAAACTGACAAACAACAATGTTGCTGTCTCCAGTGCTACAAGACCAAACCCCTCACGCAGCTGGCTGGACCGTTAAATTGCTGAGGTTTTCTTCCCCAAGGGAGGAGCTTTCTTTCATTGCAGGGTTGCTGGTTCAACTGGAACAGGGCAAAAGAAGAAGAAGAAGGAGAAAGAAGAGAAGAAAATCTGGCGGAGATGGCCAAGGTTCGTTTCCCTTTCTCTCCCCATTTCTAGAAATTTATACCCACTTTCTGGTTTCTGTCTCTTTCCATATACGCCCTCTCCACTCTTTCTGGGTATCATTCATCCTAATCCAACAAGTTAGGAAAGTCCCGCTGCTGGGCTTTCGTTTCCCATAAAAGCTCCACCGTAGTTACGGCCTTACGGGTTTCCAATATTTGTTACATTTTTATCCGGAAATCTGTTTTGTGAGGTTCCCTGTTTTGGAGAGAGAGAGAGAGAGAGAGAGAGAGAGAGAGAGAGAGAGTCATTTTAGTACAGTTGGCCCAGTAGGAAGATATTTTTATTGTTTAAGAAAGTGATTTACCCCACGGGATTCTGGGGAAAAAATATAATATTTTTTGGGAGTGAATTCTGGGGAAAAATACAAACACTCCTATTTGGCTATCTCCTTCAACTTCCTTCGTTGAGTTCATTCCCTCCCTCCTCCTAGTTTCCTACAATTTCCTCCATCCCACATATATAAATATGGTAGAGCAAGCGCCTTTTACTTCCCCCTCTGCCATTTCTCATCCTCGTTACACACTGGTTAGCCTATCTCCTCTCTGGTTTGGTTTTCATTTCCTTACCAAGAAGAAGAAACACAAAAAAGAACTCTTATCACTCACTGTACTCTGGCTTTCTCCTCTGTTCTGGTTTGTGGTGTGGTGCAGATGGCTGACCAAACGGCAGGAGGTTACAGTGTGGATGGAGCGATCATGTCAATGGGGTTTGGACTCTTCCAAACCCTAATGTGCTTTTATGCTGGGATGGGATGGGTTTCAGAGGCAATGGAGATGATGATTCTGTCGTTCATTGGCCCAGCTGTGAAGTCCGAGTGGAATCTCAGCCCTGATCAGGAGACTGTTCTAACCGTTGTGGTTTTCGCCGGGATGCTTGTTGGTTCCTATCTCTGGGGTTTCCTCTCTGACAAATTTGGAAGAAGGTCAGAAATCAACATCCTTACTCTTTTTCTTATGTTTGCTTGTTTGGCTTCATCAATGGAACTACCCACTAGCCAAAGTTGTAGGCTCTCAAATGAAACACACTGTTCATAAATGGTGTGTGCAGGAATGGGTTTCTGTTCACAGCAATAGTGACCTCTCTAGCCGGGCTCTTCAGCGCACTTGCTTGGAACTATTACGTGCTGTTAGTTGCTCGTTGTGTTGTTGGTATGGGGTTGGGAGGTGTGCCGGTGGTCTTCACCTGGTTCTTGGAGTTCATACCAGCACCAAGCAGAGGGCAATGGATGGTTGCTTTCAATCTGTTCTGGACTCTTGGAGCCATTCTTGAAGTTGGATTAGCATGGGTGCGTAATAGTCTCGCACAATTGGTTCCAACCTGGTGCTTCTTTTGCCTAGTTGTATTATAACACGGCTTTAAATTTCAGATCGTTATGCCGAGACTAGGATGGAAGTGGCTCGTCGGTCTGTCAGCAGCTCCCTCGTTCCTTCTCCTTGTGTTTTACTACTGGACCCCGGAGTCGCCAAGGTACCTATGCCTCAAGGGCAGGAAAGATGAAGCTTTTAAGATCATGGAGAAAGTGGCGAGATGCAACAAAAAGAGCCTGCCTCCTGGCATTCTGCTCACCGACCATGAAATTGAGCAACAAGAGCAAGTCCATTCTGCTGATTCGGTCCCCCCAGCATGGGAAGATTCCAACTTGGGACTCGTCAAGACACTGCGCCTGCTGCTCTCTCGCCAGCTAGCCCGCTCCACGGTGCTATTATGGATCATATTCTTTGGGAACGCGTTTTCCTACTATGGCCTTGTTCTGCTTACCACTCAGCTGAACCGCAGCAATCTGTGCCATTCAAGTGTGCCGAAATCAGGAGGCTCTAGTGCTGGTATAGATTACAAGAACGTTTTCATCGCCACTCTAGCAGGTAAAATAAACCACCATGTGAGTAAGGCATAAACTTGAAGACAGCTTCTTTTTTTACTAACTTTTTTCCATCCATTTTTTACAGAATGCCCGGGCGCCATTGCAGCCATTCTTTTGGTTGATAGAATTGGCCGCAAGTATTCCATGGCAGGTTTGCTGTTAGTTTGCAGCATCTTCGTGCTGCCATTGGTTGCACATCAGTCTTCTATGGTTACCACGATTCTTCTGTTTGGTGCTCGTATATGCATCACCGGTTCTTTCGCAATCGCCTTTGTCATGGCTCCAGAGGTAAACTAATTCCCATCAATATCACCCACCCAGCCTTGTGAAACATGATCTGCAGCAGTTCAAGTTTTTTTTACAGTCTCGTTAACCTAACCAACCTGTGGCCATTGTTTCTGTGTGTATGTTTGTTGGTGTAGCTATACCCGACATCTGTAAGGTCAACCGGGTTTGGAATCGCGAGCTCCATGGGAAGGATCGGTGGCATAACTGCTCCATTTGTGGCGGTGAGCTTGACAGAAAGATGCAGGCAGCGGGAAGCTGTGCTGCTGTTCGTCGGTATAGTTATTATAGCATTGGTTGCGACGCTGTTGATCCCTTACGATACCAAGGGGATCGAGCTGACGGAGAGCATATCCAGCACCAAGAACGAAACACAGGATTCCGGTGCTGTCAAGCCTCCTCGTCGTCAAGAGGCCTAACATAGTACTCTACTAGGATTCGTACTGTTTTATAGTATAGTACAGGAGATGAGTGTTTGCCTTTGTTTGGGAGGCAGGAGTATCATCTAGATTATTAGCAGGAGTTGGTCTGCCAGAGAAATAAAAGCACTGAAGGAGGCATGAAGCAAGTTGCAGCAAATGGAGGTCAGAGGTTTGTTAGATCACCACATGCTGGCTTCTCAACTTCCAATAGAAGGGATCAGGATTCAGAAGTCTTCTTCCTCTTCAGTTTCTTCCCATGTTGAATTTGGAACCTTGTACTTTATATTATCAGCAGGAGAAACATGTCTGTCCATGGTTGTCGCTGACAGTCCTGTTTTTATTAGGCCTGTCAGGGAATCCCACCCTCCCCGAGGCTGGCTGAAAATTGGATTGGTGGCTGAAGTTATAGTATTAATACCAAGTAACTTCTTCAGTTTACTTTGTGTGACAGCTATGTTCATGTACACGTTTGAGGTTAACATAATAATGCTTATAAATAGTGATTTAAGTATGTCATCCATGGTTGTGAACTTGTGATTCTTTTTTCTTGACTAGCTTGGGGGTAGGGGTGTGCAACGATATCGGACTGCATCGTACCAAGCCGATGCTTGGATCGAATCATACTAAATATAATATAATGTAATTCTGGTTTTTGATCTCATGAATTTTATAAATTCCGAAGAAAAATGAAACGAACTGATATTCAGATGGGATCCATGCTTAAAAAACAATGAGCATAAGCACGTTAGAAGCTTAATATGTGTTACATGTAGTTCTCTACTAAATTGTCATTTTTGTTATGTATATTCAAGTTAGAAACACATTAATGGGATAGTTGTGCCTACAAATAAACCACACACTTATATTGATGTATAAATAAGAAGCACTATTATTCTCTCTTTTTTGTGTTCTTACTTCTTTCGTTCATCTTACCCGTCATTTTTATAACCCGATTTAATCTCCCATTTCATTTTCTTGATGTTTTTATCGAGTAGAAACAAACTGGATTTGGGTATGATCCTGACTATTAATGACTTTTTTTTTTATTCTAACAAGTCTAATTTACATATATCTTGGTTGGTAATATCCACATATTAAGGTCTAAATGAATGAATATTTCGTATGTTATGAATACTCCCAACTATATTTTTGAAGAGTTCAACTATGATATATAAATATTAATTGCTTCAAAATAAAGTAACACAAAAAATATGGAAAAATCAATTTCAATTTTCAAGTTTATTATATTAAAAGATAAATTATGGAAGATTGATTTTTTTTCTTTAAGAAAAAAAAAATCTACCAAAATAAATAAAATAAAATAATTAGTACACGATTATGGAAACGTCATTACACCATGGCATTTCAATGAGTCGAGTTACCAAAAAAACAAGATTGTGTGATCGGATCTCTTCGTACCATTTCCACAATTAGGAGCGGCAAGTAAGCTAGAGGCCAAATGGGCAAAAGCTCGGAGTAGCAGGATTCATGTCCCTCCACGCCCAGCTTACTTCACTCTCTGCCTAGATACTCTACTGTACTGATACCCTTGTGCTTTCCTTTCTCTCCCTCCATCCACTTCACAGATTCTCTTCATCGCACCTTTTCGTTTGTTTTAGATTTCGGATTAGATTCCTCCCTATAAATCTCCCCCCCCAATCATGGCGGCAGCCCAATCGCCATCACCACCCGATCTTTCCACCGGTAACAATTTTCTTCATCACCATCTTCAATCTTTGATCATCTCTCTCTCTGTCTGTGTCTCCAGTCCCTTGCTCTTTTAATTCTCTATTCATCTCGTTCTTGATCGTTCGGTCTTCCGACTTGATCTCGATCGATCTGTCCTGTTTGTGCTTTTGATTTGATGGCCCCGAGTTGTTTCGTGGGTTGATGGGGGATGGAGTCGATTCTGATATGTGCGATCTATGCCGTCTGTGTTGTGTTGTCTGGTCCATTTGAATGGTTTCTCAAATCTTGAACGATTGTGGCTCTTGTGTTGTTTACTGCTGAATTTAGGATCTTTTCTGCATCTGGGGATCGTAAAGTTAGAATCTTTCTTTGATTTGAGTTGCTGGGATGCTATCGAAGGGGTAACTGTAGTGATCTCAGATCCTGGTGATATGAGATATCCGGAGTCTTGCTTTATCAAAATTGTAGCGTTCTGAATCTTATGAAATGTCAAAAATCGAGTAGTTGGAAAAAGGAGATTTGTGATTGGGGGAAACCATGAAATTCAATTGAGATTGTGATCTATGTGAACCTCTGAGGATGTTAGCATGGCTCTTAGAGCAGACAAATTCCTGTATACCTGTACTGTCATTTGGGTATTGATTAAGAGAGTTTGGTACCTTCCTAGGCGCATGGCTTTATTGTTTTTGGTAGAGCAATATGGGAAGTCATAGTGGTCATTCGAATGTTTAATTCTCGGTTTTGTATCGCGATCAAGTGATTTTTACTAGATCTGGCTGCTTCTTACTTCAAGAGTATTCACATTCCTTAATTTATCATGTGTACCTAATAGGTGTGTTTGCGTGGATTTGTGCGCATATTCGTTGCTTCAAGTTTTGCTATCAACAGTTTTAAGCTTTGGTTGGTCAAATATTATGTACTGCCTGTGTTTGTAAGGCTCTTCTGAGTCACTGAGCATATTGATCATGGATGCAGAAGAAAAACTTCTTGAACCAGATAACATGAAGGAGCGGGTATATTTTTTACTCTTACACCTCTCAATGTCTTGCTTAATCGCTTTTATATGGCTCTATCGAGGAGGCAACATTGTTGCTTCTTTTACTTGTTAACCTCTTACCATCCCCTGTATAGCAACCAAAATGAGATATCAATTTCTTCTAATTCCTCTCAGGCTGCTGCCACTATAGGTCATCCGAGGGATGCGGGGCAGTTTGGATCTTTTGGTTCCAATGGAGATCAAACCGTCTATCCTCCAAATATGTATGCTCCTCAGCCTCAGGCTTTCTACTACAGAGGTTAGTTCCCTCCCCCTCTTTTGAGTTTGTTTGATGGTATCCTTGATGGTCTTCTGACTGCAGTAGACAATGGTTTATGCAAATTAATATTTCATTTGGCATCAATCAGGGTATGAAACTGGTGAATGGGATGAATTTCCTCCTTATATAAATGCTGAAGGACTGGACATGGGATCAGCAGTGAGTTTGACCTCTCACCTCCTGTGATTTTGGCAATTGTTGGTGCATATTATATTTACTATATGGTTCTCTAATTCTTTTTCATCCAATCAGGGCATCTATAATGAGAATCCTTCTCTTGTATTCCATGGTGGATATGGCTACGGGCCACAAGTTCCATATGGGCCATATTCTCCTGTCACACCACCTTTACCTTCTGTAGGTGGAGATACACAGATGTACCCTCATCAACAATTCCAGTTTTCAGGCCCCCCTTATTACCAACAGCTTGGTCCTCCTAACATGCCATATATTCCCCCACACAATCCTGTTTCACAGCCTGAATTCAATACTTTGCCAACAATGGATCATCGAGGTGAGAACATGCTATCTAGACCAAGGCCTACTTACCCTCTTCCCTCAGGAGCTTTTGGTAGAGGCAATGCTCCTGGCAATCTTGGTGGTCTTGGTTTTCATGAGGTGTTTGATGGATTAAGTTCTGGAGGGATATGGTCTGATTACTCAAAACCCTCTGATAGGCACAGGCCTTTTACTCCCTACTCACCTGCAGTATCCCCGCAACCAACCGCTCCTTTCGGGTCATTTGGGCAGAATGTTGGAATGGTTTGTCACCTTCATTTCTCTAGTTTTACTCTGATGATTTTATTTTAGTTTGTTTTGTAATTAAATGACAATGAAGTATGCTATGCTCATCTTTACTATACTGGATTTCAATCTCTCCTATTTACTACGACGACGAAGAATCAAATTATCACTATATTTATTCCTTTTTCTACTTCTTCTTCCAAGTGCAGGATAACCCCAAGGGGTTGCGCTATTTTGGGATTTGCTCTAACCGAAGCTATTGCTTTGTTTGCACTAATGATGGCCTTTCTAATTGCTTACTGTACTTGTTATATGATCGAATCCAATGTTCACTAGTTATTGTATTATTAGGTTTGAAAACTTTTTCATGGTGGCATTATATACATAAATTAAGGAAAGCACGGGTCATTTTATGTAATCCTGGCTGGAGCCAACAGTCTTTGAACGATTAGCTGCTTCTGCGGGTCATTTGAGCAACACTTTTCATGGACAGTACTCATCTGAAATGACAAATACCCTGGATTACTTGAAGGTTGTATTTAGGTGGCCATCTGTTTTGATCTCCTGTTGTTATAGCCTATTTATACTTTGTATATCTATTCCCCTTCTCAAAGCTGTGAATTCATAGCCGTAGGAGAGCTGTGGTCCGAATTCATCTGCCCATTTGCTATGCTTCTCTTAACGTGGGGAAAGCTGGGATACGTCTAGTTCTTAGCATTACCACATGTCAGTTGGCTAAACCATGGTTTGCTGCTTCTATATAGTGCATAAAGCTGTATTTCTGGACGGGGTTTGCTGCTTGCTGGTATAATGTGGTCTCAATGCACCATGCAGTTGCAAGGAATTGTTTGTGGACATGTCTGCTATTTTGTTTCCCTGTACCCTTGTGCATGTGTGTCGATGAACGAGTCTCAAACCAGGATTTATCTCTCTGTTTCTCACATCAGCTCCACTCTTCCCTTTTCTTTTCTTGGTGCAAGGTTCAGAATTTTCAATTTCTGAGACTGGGTAGCCAACGGTTCTTAAGCTGCACTGGATCAAATATTTGCACTGCGAAAGCATACAAATATTATTATATTATTGCATCTGAAAATAGATTTTTCATTCCTTGAAGTTCTTACTTTTACATAGTTTCTGCTTGTTCTGGCACTGATTCACTACCTTCTTCAGGCACCTCAACATCAAAGAGCTTATGGCTTTGGCTCTGGTTCAAGTTCCATTGGTAGAGGTTATACATATGGTGGTTTTAATCAAGGGCCCAGCTTTGGTAATGCTTCCATTAAGGGTGTGGGGACAAACACTCGTGGTTGGCTTTCCTTTGATAATAATAGATGGCGTGGAAATAGTGGTGTTTCTCTGTGTGGCTGCAATGGGAACCTTGATATCCTTAGTGAGCAAAACCGTGGACCAAGGGCCTCAAAGCCTAAGAGTCAAAACACAACAGAGCAAACTGGTGCTTCAGTTGACAGTACCAAATGCAGCAAACCCGCTTCAAAGGTCAATAATGACAATTTGTACAACCGGCCGGATTTCATTACTGAATATAAGGAGGCAAAGTTCTTCATTATCAAATCGTACAGTGAAGATAATGTCCACAAGAGCATTAAATATGGTGTTTGGGCTAGCACACCCAATGGAAACAGAAAATTGGATGCTGCTTATGCTGAAGCTAAGAACGAAGATCCTTGCCCAATTTTCCTCTTATTTTCAGTAAGTGTTCATGCTGGCAGTATACTTGCTACAAAGTGTACAATTGGTTTGACTTTCTTGATCCTAATTATGATTGGATGATCATCTTGGTAAGGTGTTTTATTTGGTTTTTCCTTGGCGTGTCTTATGTATGACTCTCTGCAGGTTAACGCCAGTGCTCAGTTTTGTGGAGTTGCTGAAATGACTGGACCAGTAGATTTTGAGAAGAGCGTTGATTACTGGCAACAAGATAAATGGAGTGGGCAGTTCCCTGTTAAGTGGCACATTATCAAGGATGTCCCCAATAGTCAGTTCCGCCATATAGTTCTGGAAAATAACGATAACAAGCCTGTCACTAATAGTCGGGACACACAAGAGGTACAATTCTCTTTCTGAGAAACTTGCATAAGCAACTTACAAATATGGCAAGGCCTAACCTGAACTTTAATTTGTGCAAAGGCTAACTGTCTGCAAACATGCCAATTCTGTAGGTGAAACTCGAGCAGGGCATCGAGATATTGAACATATTCAAGAACTACGAGACAGAGATGTCCATCTTGGACGACTTTGACTTTTATGAAGACAGACAGAAAGCAATGCAAGAAAGGAAATCCAGACAGCAGCAAGTGACTCCCATTCCTGACACCGTCGTTCTGGAAAACGAACAGAGAAAGGCAGTGATCCCCCCCAGTAGTTTTATCAAGCAGATGTCCAAGAGCTTTGCTCAGGTGGTGCGCTTGGAAGATGATGCCAGCAAAGAAAGCTGCAATGCAGGCGAGGGAGGAGCTGTTACCATCTCGTCAGGCGGTTTCATAGGTGCCACCGTGATTCCACACCTAGAAGAAGTTGTGACGACGACAGTCTCCACTTCTCCTGCAACTACCGGCGTGTAGGAAGATATGAAATGACATCCTTGATATCCCATCTCGATTAATCTGGCATGAGGTGATTGGTTGGGCAGCAGAGGATTACTATTGGCGTTGCATGAAGCTATGACAGGCAATATTATGCAAGTTCTGTCTGATACTTTGAGAAGGTAGTTTTTGGCTTTGATGTTCTTTATTTTTGTTTTGTGATGGTGCCATCAGGTTGCCAGTTTGTTTGATATCTTCAAGTTTTGGAAGTGATAGAAGGTTGACATTATGAGTTTCTCCATGTGTAATATAGATGCGATTTGAGCATTCAGTTTAGAGGGCTTTGCTTTTCTGTTTTCCTGGTCTCTCCCCTTTGAATACACTGTTGTTGCTGTTTTGTGTTATATTTGGGTTTTCTGCTGCTTTCAGATTGTTTAGCAATTATGGACACTGGATTGTAATAAGTTCTAGTTGATGAGATTGGATGAAAAAAAATGGTTGAATAGTTCATGAGATTATATATATAAAAGAAAATTGTGTGAAATAAGCTGATTTGTGTGGTATCATGCCAACACATCAAGATTCTAATGGTATCATCCCCAAACTTCGGTAAATACATGGTCTAAATAGTAAAATTTGACGGACATATAATAGTGTGAATATATGCATATAGCGTATGCTAGGTTGAACTATATATATGGGTTCAGGCTAGCGTACGCCCGTTTGAATTTTGCTATTTCGATCATGAATTAACTGGAGATTTGGGCATGATACCATACCCTAACCACTAATAGATAAACCCCAGTCCCTAGTTTTCTAACCCAAACTATGAGATTCGTTTAATCTTAAAATGAAAATCAACAATAATTTTGACAAATCAGAACCATTGATTTTCATTTCACGATTAAATGAATCATATGCTTTGGGTTAGTGAATTGGGGACTGGTGTTCATCCATCAGGGGTTCGGATATAGTATCATGTCCCAAACTTTGGTTAATTCATTGTCTAAATAGCAAAACTCAACGGACGTACGGTAGGCTAAGGTACGCCCAGGTGTACGCTAGCCTTTGCCATATATATATATATATATATATATATATATATATATATGAATGTTGTACCAATTGATATAAAAAAAGGTTTTGCATTGCTTTTTTTATAACACCAACGTGTAGATTGCCTCAATATTTGAAGATTTATGATAATTGTTATTCATATGTGATCCTTGATTTTTCCGGAATTGTAATCCAGCAACATCCACGAGTTTTTTTTTTTTTCTCCATAAGAAACAAAATCCAGGAGGAATCTATAATTAAAGAACAGCATCCACAAGTTTAATATATTGAAATAATTGGAAAGAATCACTTGTGCATTGCCTCATCCCTATCTGGGATGTATATCTATTCAGTATTATCTACAATAAACATTTTTTTCAGCCCAAAAAGAAAAGGACATTTAGCTTTTCTTTTGTTGAAAAAGACATTTAATGTTTCCACCCTCAAGATAAATATTGAGTTATTGGTCAAAATAGAGAAATGCAAAATGATGTTGAGTTTATATGATTACATTCATCAGAGTAATTTCTGAATTGGTCTGTACCGTTCGGTTTATTTAGATCTGCTTCAACTCGAAATAGAATGAGACGAAATATGTAAAAAAAAAAAAAAATCTTGTTCCGTCACATTTTACGTTATTCTTGATTAATATTTATTTTTGTTATGAATAAGAACGACTTCATTTCATCAAATACAATCAAACACAATTCAGTTACCATCAATTCACCCTAGTACCAACACTTACTCCAAAATTGTCTAGCTACATTATTCCTCTGTTCTTCCAGGTTTATTACACTACAAAAAAGCTAAACGAAGATTTAATTTCCACAGCAGCTTGCGTCATATATATTAATTCCGAATCCTATAACGCCTTCTTTCTAAAAAAAAATTTATCCATCTTTTCCGCCATACTTCACTAACCACCCTTGCTTCGATATCTACCTATATTTTCATGTATTATGCCGAAATAATTATAAAGTCAACGCAACTCGAGTTATCGTCCCTCTTTTCCCTACCCATCCACACTCCCATCTTAAGCTCTTAACCTCTCCTTCAAAGTTGCCATTGCTGTTGCAGGCCATCAATCTACCTTGTCCAAATATAACATGACTATGGTTGACACTTGAATGTTGCCTGCCTTTAGTAGAAACTGGAAATTTGCTAAAAGAGGGAGTAAACTATGAGAAACAAACCAAAACGATGGTGGACCTGAACCATATCCACATTTTCCTCGCAGGCCGCTTTCAATTCCTCCCCACCATATTCATTTCCCATTTCATTTCCTGCTTCTGCCTCCCTCCACACTCTTTCTCTCCAATCTCATAAAGGCTGCAACCTTCGCCTCAATCACATCACATGGCATGGGTTTAATCCCAAATCCTCCGCCACAAGAAACCCAAGAAGAAGAAGACGACGAGGAAGATACCGAGCCAATATTAGGAGGAGAAAGCAAAGAAGAACCAGGGACAGAGAGCGATGGCGTTGGTGATTCTCGAGTATTTCCACCCTCTTCGTAATGGATTCCAATCTTTGCTCGATGCCGATTCCGGGGTTTGGTTTCTGGGCTACGGCTGCAGATGGGCTACTCTGCTTTCCCTTCTCCTTATAATCGTATTCCACTTTTCCAGGCGCCTTCTCTTCTCCCTCTTTGCTTCTTCTTCTTCTTCTTCCTCGTCTCGACCTTCTCCTATCTCTGCCGCTGCTCCTAATCCGCTCGCGCCATCTGGGTCTAACCCTGAATCCAGGTTACTACTACTCTCTCCCTCTTACTGGGTTTCGTTTTCTGTTCCTGTTTTCATTTGGGGGTTTTCTCATTCCCTTTGCTATATCGCTATTGTTTCGGGTTTCCATCGCGATTGAGGGTTTCTGTTGAATTTTTCTTGTCTACCAAGTTTTGCTGGATTCCGTTCTGTTACTGGCAATATATGACTTGTTCATATGTTTCTGCATATCGAATTCGTGAGACTCAGGTAGCAAGTCCTCTGCTATTGCTGCCTCTGTTGTTTACTTCTAGTTTGTGGTTTGTCATTTGCGTAATGGTATCTTTTCCCTACAACATTTCCATTAGGAATTCACACCTATGGATATTGTATAGCGTGAATCAGTGCTTGTTGATCATTAACTTGAGTGTTGCGAAAGAATTTTTCAGTGCGATCGGTACCTTTCGTTGACATGGTTTTTCAAATTCATTTGGCAGGTCGTCAGAGTTGGTATCAGAAGCAGATTTGAAGTTCTTGGTTAAAAATCTGGATGAGGTTGACGAGAGTGAGAGCTGGGAAGATGTCATAGATAAGAGAAACAATCTTCTACATTATAACGCAAAATGCTGCAAACCCAAGGTTCAATATCTCTTTCCTTGCTGAAAATACTTGTGAAAGTATCAATGTTTTCTCTTGTATGTGTTTTACCCCCTCGTCCTATGCCCTGTAGTTTGTAAGTTATAACCTACATAGTTTGCATACCAACATAACATACATTGTGGCCACTACTGTGTTTTGAGAAAGCGAAAGGGAGCTTCAGATAAAACTCGGCCTTCTGGTGCTTCTTGTTCATACTGTCTCAGTTTATTTCTGGCAAAAAAGAACCGAAAGATTGTCCATTTACAACATTATTTGGTTGTTGTTATTCGCAGAATGCTCCTGTAAAGTACTTGAGTATGACAGTTTTCGAGAATTGCTCTCCTGAGTTGCTTAGGGACTTCTACATGGACAACAATTACAGAAAGCAGTGGGACAAAACTGTAGTGGAACATGAGCAACTCCAAGTAGACCGGTCGAATGGAATTGAAATCGGGCGTACTATTAAGAAGTTCCCACTTTTGACACCTAGGGAGTACATTCTGGCATGGAGATTATGGGAAGGAAAGGATAAAACGTATTATTGTTTTATTAAGGTATTAGCATGATGGAAGTCAGGGTTTGAACCTTTGTTTCTTGGTACTGGACATTTGGTTTTCTCTAGGTTTGCTGACATTCCAATTTTTTGCTGACTTGTTTTCTTCATCATGTCTAGGAATGTGAACATCCGTCAGCACCATTACAGAAGAAGTGCGTGCGAGTTAGATACTTTAGATCTGGCTGGAGAATTAGGAAAGGCAAGTTCTTGAATACAGCATTTGCTTTTTTGATATTCTGTCGAACAGTTTGGCCTTGAAACGGATCAAGCGAAAGCCAGAGCTACATCCTTTTCTAACAACGTTTCTTCCAATGATGCTAGATCCTTGTAGCTTAGACCTACATTTATCTCCATTTGTTTTGTTCCTTGAAGTTCCACCACTTCTCACATCACTTTTCAATTCACTTGTGTTTTATCAACCTGAAGATTCTCCTACTTGCTGCATCTTTGCTTTTTCAATGTGAAAAGGCTACCATTCTTTTCGACCTTGCTATTTTAGTTGTGGCTACGAAGTTCTGAATGCTAAACTAGTGCATAATTTTTGTGTAAACAGTACCTGGTAGGGATGCTTCTGAGATCAAAATGTATCACCAAGAAGATGCTGGACTAAATGTAGAGATGGCGAGGTTGGCTTTTGCTAGGGGCATATGGAGTTACGTGTGTAAAATGCATGCTGCACTATGCAAATACCAGTCAAGTAGTCAAATAGGAAGTGATCCTGCTAGTGCACTCTCTCTGGTTCAGAAGGTGAGAGATTCATCACTGCTGTTTAGTTCCCCAAAGGCTGAAAAGTTGATTGCTTTGGCTTTCAAATTCTGTTTCCATCACATATACCTAACGAAACTTAAAGCTTCCAACTTCCTGCTTCCAGTTAAAGTGCCACTTTTCTCTTAGCTCATGTCCTCACAACTAGCATTCTTGCTTCAGATTCCTTCTGGCATCGAAACAATGGACAGTTGTCTCAAGGACACTCCTGAGAATCCAGCCGTAGCTACTGCATCTCTTGGAATAAGTATGACGGCGAGCAGGAAGAAGAAATTAGAGAGGCGGCCATCAGGGAAAGTGGTAGCAAACGGGCTGCTTCTGATCGGAGGAGTCATCTGTCTATCTCGTGGTAACTGTAGCCTGGGAGCTAAAGTTGCCATGGGCTACCTCTTGTCGAAGCTTGGGAAACGCAATGCTCGTCAATCTGGCACCGATAGAGGATGACGGATCATATGACAAAACCCATGCAAGGATGGTTAGACCCAAGATTAACATAAAAAAGCACATGCTACAAGTACCAGATATTGCCAGATTCTGATCCTGTATTTTGTTTTTGGGTTGAAATTTTGCTTGATGCTTCTTCTCATTCTTCTGTATAGGGAAAAAAAGAGACAAATTATAGATGTTACGCTGGAATTCCTTGTTGCTGATGAACTGAAACTGCTGATACAGCAGCTTCAGAAGTTAGCTTACAAGTGAATAAAATATTTGTACATTGTATCATCCACTTCTCATTATTTTTTCTGCAATGAGTTACTCATCAGCGAGCTAGCTTGTCTTCAGATTATCAATGGATAGCAATGGGCAGTAACGTTGATCGATCGATAGAGAATACTACGAATCAAAGAAGAGTCAGCCAGGTGTGTTATCAATGAGAGTAAGAACCTCAGGGAAACGGCCCGAAACAGAGTACTCCAAGGTTGCACGCTGCTACGGCAGAAGCCATTGGTATCCACGATTCAGAAAGTTGCCTCCTAAATAGCAAGTAGAATGACAACGTGAAGAAATGGTTTTCATGATCTAGTAGCTAGCTAGGGTTTCTCCAAGCCATTCACTCGCTCTCTGTTCCTCTTTCCTCCAAATATAGCCATGAATGTCCCCCACTCTGTCTCCTATCCTTGTTGTAATGTTGCTCCATTTGCTCGTCAAACAAAATTCCCAAATTCAGTGCTCATTCATTACTCCCCTTTTCCCATCTCCTAAAAACAGCCTCCTTTCTCTCGATCGGGCGAATGATCCACAAAAAAGGAGAGAAGATTTTCGAGCGGAAGGGAAAAAACAACCAGACGAGAGCAAAAAGTTGCCATCTTTTCCTTAGTTTCTCTGTTTTGGGTTTCAATAAACGTTCAGCAACATCCATTTATGGGTTGCTGCTGCTGATCATGGGAAAAAACAGAGCTTCCATGAATGCATGCTAGGAGCTTCAGCTTCACCATATTAATCCGATCTCCAGTGTCTGCATTTGTTTCTTTCGCCAGAGTCGATGCTCTGTTCTTGATTCGTCGATTTCAGGGTTGGGTTTTCTTTCGGATTATGCGTTGGTGCTCTGTTTCGCATTGATGATCTCTGGGGTACGTTTTTTCCGCCGGAGAAAAATGTACCCTAGCAGCTGCTCCTCCTCCCTAGGGTTCCTGCTGCTGCTCTTCTCCCTCGGGATCCCTCGCGCCCTTTCCAAGACCAACTCTCAGGACGGTAAGTACCTAACTTTCGAAAGAAAAATCGTTCATGGCGACGGTGTTGATGTTTTTCGTAAACTTGTAAATTGAATTGAATGCAATGCAATGCAGTGGCTGCTCTGAATGTGATGTACACGAGCTTGAATTCTCCATCGAAGCTGGACGGGTGGAAGGACAGCGGCGGGGACCCTTGTGGCGATTCCTGGGATGGAATTACATGCTCCGGCTCCAAAGTCACCGAAATGTACGTACAGTAATCCCAATAACTCCGAATCGGACAAGGATCGAGAATGAAATGAATCTTATAACAGATTGCATGAATTGATCTTAATTTGTTGCAGAAGGTTGTCAGGGATGGGACTGACGGGAACTCTAGGCTACCAGCTCTCGAACCTGAAATCCGTCACCTACTTGTAAATCCCTTTCCTTACATCGACCTCAAATACATTCACACATACGTATTCGATTCGAATTGATTCATGTCAAATTATTTGGTCTTAGAACAGTGACGTGAGCAAGAACAAGCTCCAGAACGAGATCCCATATCAACTCCCTCCAAATGTAGCGTACTTGTAAGATCAATTACTGTTTCTTGGTCTGCCATAGTTGAGAGTTTTCTTAATTCGATAATTAATGTTTCATGAGTACTCTTAACCGCGTGTTGATTGTTATGTCGCACACAGAGATCTTTCCAAGAACGCATTCGCAGGCAATCTACCTTATTCCATCTCACTCATGTCTGACCTCGAGCATCTGTGAGTTTGACCCAATCTCATCATTCATTCATTAATCCTGGCTACGCCACTACGACTAATCTCATTCATTTGTATGGCAGAGATGTTAGCAATAATAAGTTGAATGGGCAGCTGACTGATATGTTTCAGAAACTTCCTAAACTCAAAATCATGTGAGTACACGGGGTCATAAATTTCTCTCTTCATTTTCCATCGGGAAAAAAAAACTTGCAAAATTTTGCATCTTAATATGCTTTGGTTCGAGCAGGGATCTATCCAACAACCAACTATCGGGAGATCTGCCGCAGAGTCTGTCATTGCTCAAAAACTTGGCTCAATTGTATGAAAACGTACCCCTAATTATTATGGTTGTAGCATTAGTGATGATGATGATTTCATCTTGGGGGCTAATTAATTACCCTTTATAATTATGATTATGGTGGTATGTGGCTTTGGTATATAGGTTCTTGCAAAACAACAAATTCACAGGCAAAATCACTGTGCTAGGGGACCTTCCATTGGACGAGTTGAATGTGGCCAACAACAAGTTCACTGGCTGGATCCCTGCCAAGCTCGACGATATCAACAGTTTAGAGTGAGTAAACTGATGAAACCCTAGCTTAATTAGCTACACACTACATGAAAAAATGAACTTTCAATCATCGTAAGTTGACCATCGTACTAAAAACGATGGTTTAATAATTGATTATTAACCGCCGTATTTGTACTATTAGTCGAGCTTTCTTTGTTTCCTGCTCCTATTGGGGGTTTGATTTTTGCGCTTGGCTCCGATTTGTAGGCAGGGATAACAATAGGGTAGCCCATAGGGTGGCTAGGAAGGCCCTTTCTTTGTTTCCTGCTCTTATTGGGGGGGTTTGATTTTTGCGCTTGGCTCCGAATGGAGTTGTAATCGTTTGTGATCTATTCGTTCTTGGTAATACAAGCTATCTTTTGTCAAAATAAAATAAAAACTATTAGTCACCAATTATATTGTGGTTAATAGTATTTTCCCCCCCTGTAGTGCGAGCTGCCTTGCTAATTAATTAGGTAAAAACTGCTCACAAAGTACTGATTTTTGGGGTTGTGTTGTGTTGGATGAATTGTCAGTACCGATGGGAACAATTGGTCGAAAGGGCCGGCACCACCGGGCCAGAAATCGGCAGCTTCAGGTGGGAAAGGCGGCGGAGGGGCTCCGATCTCGACCGGGGTGTTGATAGCTCTGATCGTGTTGGGAGTCGTCATCATCTTCGCGCTTCTCATCATCGTCTTCTTCTCGAGGAGAAAATCCTCTTCCCCGTCGTCGTTCCTCGACGACGAGGAGAAGAGCCACCACCACCACCACCGGAAGTCCGACTTCACTCCTCTCACTTCCCAGGAGCTCTCTCCTCCTGCTTTCCCCCCACATTTCCGCCGCGGCGACCCCAGAGGTTAGTTAATGTGTACTTGCACTAAAATTTTGTTCAAAATATTAGAGTTTGGTGTTGTTCGCTGCGATGAGGTGGTTCGCTGGAAATCGGAGCGATCCATTACTGGATCGCTTCTAATATACGCGCGATGTGCACAAATCCTTGTCTAGAAATGCTTTCTAACCCCCGAAATTGAGGTCAACTCTAGTGAACTGATCACGTAACATGCGTGAAAGCTTTAAACGATCATAATTGTGCGCTCAATTATTTGATCGAGGCAATTTTTTATTATGCGTAGCTTTTCGAGATAAATTTTTTTGTTTATCAGATACCTGAGCGCCACATTATGCGGTGTTTGAAGTTACAACGTATGTACAATGCAAATCGTTGTAGGTCCAACAATTTTGGTGTTAGATCGCTGGAATCAGCTACGATTTCTTTAGATTGCCTTGGTTTGACGCACTCCAGGTTAGATTGGTCCGATTTCCAGTGAACCACCACCAAGATGACTGGACACCGCATCAAACCACCTCAAACTCTAGTATATTGTTAAAATTTAAGTGTAAACGTAGTATGTCATAATTATTTTTTTAGTAAATCCTGTATTTTGGGGAAAATATCCTACTCAATGGTTGGGTATTGATGGAATTACGTAATTGATTGATGGATTGATCGATGAGATTGCATGAAAACTTGCAGAGTCGTTCGAGTCGGCCAACTCGATCGACATCAAGACGCTGCAGAAGGCCCCGTCGCAGGGCTACAAGCCGCCGCCCTACGACTTCGCGCAGTCGCTGAACGACAACGAGTTCGCCACGCGGCTCAACTCGAAGCGCAGCGCGGCGGCGAGGGCCGTGCCCTACGCCCTGCAGGACCTGCAGGGCGCCACGGCCGGGTTCGCCCCGGGCCGACTGCTCGGGGAAGGAACCATCGGCCGCGTCTACAGGGCCAAGTACGCCGACAACAAGGTCCTCGCCGTCAAGAAGATCGACTCCTCCTACTTCCACGGCGACGAAAGCGTCGAATTCTCGGAGATCGTCGCCGGCATCTCGAAAGTGCACCACCCCAACGTCGTGGAGCTCGTCGGGTTTTGTTCGGAGCAAGGGCACAACATGCTGGTGTACGAGTACTACCGAAACGGCTCGCTCCATGACTTTCTCCACAATTCAGGGGATTTCAGCAATCCGCTGACTTGGAATACACGCGTCCGCATCGCTCTGGGGACTGCTCGGGCCGTCGAGTAAAATCTCAATCATAAACCCTTTCTTTTCGTTTTACTAATTTTTTTGTATAGTGAGGAAATCAATGATGTTTTCTGGGGTGTTTTGCAGGCATCTTCACGAAACGTGCTCGCCGTCGGTGGTCCACAAGAACATCAAGTCCTCTAACATTTTACTGGACCTCGATCTTAATCCCCACCTCGGCGATTACGGCTTGGGAACCTTCCATACGGTACGTAAACCCTCACCCTCTGTATACCCCACGAAACGCCAGTCGTACGCTAGTCGAGTTTTGTTATTATGATCCACGATTGAACATCTCTCAACAACTCGAGTTATTGGGATCAACTTGTTCTTGACATGGTATCAGAGCCTTCTGTGACCGAGAGGTCTTGTGTTCGATTCCCGGTGACCCCCATTTGTTAAGAACATGGTATTCTTGTCTTCAGACCTGTGCAAACTTCAAGCCCTTGTGAGTGGTTTTCGTTTGAGAGGGCGTGGCAATTAGGATCCAAATCTATGAATCCAATCAAATCCATCTACCAAATTATCCACCTAATCCAATCCACTTAAATCCAATCCATTTTATCCAAATCCAATTGGATTGGTGGATTCATGGATCAATCCATGGATTCAAATTACGATTTGGTACCTATATTTTTTATGTTTTACATTTTGGTACCTAAAATTTATATTTTTATACGAAAAATTTCATTGAAAAATTACATTTTGGTACCTAAAATTTTTCATTATGACGTTTTAGTACCTAAACTTTTCAAAATTTGCATTTTGGTCCAAACATTGGATGTCATTTGGATTCATGGATCAATCCACCAATCCATGAATCCACCAATCCATTGGATCTAATCCATTTGATTTATGAATCCACCAATCCACAAATCCGATCCAATTTCCACCTCTACACCACACTGATACATAATATTCATTTAATCTTAAAATGAAAATCAACGGTTCTGATTCCTCGAAATCATCAAAAGTACAAATAATAAGTGATTTAATGCAGATGTGGTTAAGTTAGTTTGTCTAGAGGCTAAAGTTTAGGACCAGGCAGTATTATGAATTTTTTTTTTTGGTCCTATAAGAATTGGGCAGAGGATTGTGTTACTTTTTTGGCCCTATTACTCATAGCAATAATTAGTGATTTGAATTGGAAGAGGTTAGGGTAACAAAAAGATTGAACCTGTTTTTCTGTAATGGCAGAGGACAAGCCAAAACCTAGGAGCAGGGTACAACGCGCCGGAGTGCACGACGCCGTCGGCCTACTCGATGAAGAGCGACATCTACAGCTTCGGCGTGGTGATGCTGGAGCTGCTCACCGGCCGGATGCCCTTTGACCAGTACGAATCGGCGACCTAATCGAATTCCCCCCCTTCCTTTATCTTCCGACTAGCCACATATACCTGAATTATATTCCCTTACTCTGTTTCCTAATCAGGACGAAGCCGAAATCGGAGCAATCGCTGGTGCGGTGGGCGACGCCGCAGCTGCACGACATCGACGCCCTGGCGAAGATGGTGGACCCGGCGCTGCGGGGTTTGTACCCGCCGAAATCGCTGTCGAGGTTCGCCGACATCGTCGCGCTGTGCGTGCAGGTGGAGCCGGAGTTCCGGCCGCCGATGTCGGAGGTGGTGCAGGCGCTGGTGACGCTGGTGCAGCGGTCCAATATGAACATGAAGGACGATCTCACGGCTTCTCGCCGGACCGAAGACCTCGATTACTGATCATCGTCTGTCCAACTTAATTACCGCTAGTTGATTAATTAACGAGATTTTAATTTTAATCCATCCCAAAAAAATTCTTTTTAAGTCCTTATAAAACTTACCAGTGGGGTTGGATTAGTAAATTTGATGCAAGGTGTTCTTTTGTTTGTGATTTTTTACAGTTTCTATTTTGTAGAGGTACATTGTCGATTAGAACTTGTTTGTTTAGGTGGTGGGAAGATAAATTTTTGTTGGAAAGGTTTACTGTGCTGGAGGGTATTTTTTGGCCACGAGATTGTGTGTTTGAATTATGTGATAATTTCCTTCTCTGTTTCTTGTCGTAGGAACGCGCAGAGACTCTAATACCACTTGCAAGTTGTAACATTCAAACTTTGTTTCTGATCAAGATATTGTGTGTTTTCTGCTCTAATATCGTGACAACTTTGTATTTTTTGTGCATTATGGTAACTTTCCGAGAGGTCACCCATATATATACACTGCTCCGTCTTGGATACGCTTAACTTCAGTGTTCTTACAAAAAATCAATCCATTGCACCCGAAATGTGTCTAGTCAGTTTAGGTTGAACCGCTTTTTTAACTCATGGATCTCACCCTTACTTTTTTTTTATGTGGAATTTGTCTATCAAGCTCTTTTGTTATTAAAGTGTAAAAAGATAAAATCAGGGTTTGTGAAATCGTATGATACTGGCTGGTTGACCGGAAAAATCTTCTACCAAATTTAAACCCCTTGGTTAATTTTAGGGATATGAAACACTTTTTTTTTTGCCAAAAGATCACTTGTATTATCGAGAAAACCAGATACAAAAAAGTCACACGGCTGAAAACAGCCAAGAAACAAAATCGAACCCTCCTAAATGAGGGGACAACGAAAGGGCTTTTCTTGCCACCAAATGGGCAACCCTGTTACAATCCATACCAACAAACCGAATATCAAACATCGAAAACGAGCCCGTCAAGCTTCTAATTTCTTCCAATATCGTGCCACCCTGAACATCTTCAACTTGACCTTCTCGAATCCTTCCAATCACCACCTGGCCATCACCAGCAAAGATGACAGAATGAAGTCCCGTGCCAAACACCAACGAATTGCATCACGAAAAGCTAACAGCTCCACTAGGGAGGGATCAAAAACCCCCACGTACAAGGCTGCTGAAGCCGCCACCACCGCGCCCAACGAATCCTGCAAAACCCAACCTCCAGCCCCGTGTGAACCACGCAGAGAGGCTCCATCAACAAACAACACTAGCTCTCCAGGCGGGACCGGCTCCCTAACCGATAGGCGAGGACCCCCCGAGACATGGAAGAGGCGGCCTATGTTGATTATCAGGAACGGAATCCCACTCTGTGACCTGCGAGTGAAACCGAGAAAGTAAAACAAGGACAATGAACTGTGTGAAATCAAAACAGGGATATGAAACACTTGAACTATGATTAAACTACATCATAAAGTACCCTACTTTTTTTTAAGGATAAATACTATTTTTTTTAGCCAACGGTTGGCTAAAAAAAAATAGTATTTATGGTTTAAACTTTTACGGTCCATTAAGGCGTCAATTATAGGTGAAGTGGAAGCCCAGAGTCCACAGAACTTTTGTGCAGCTCTACATTAGGCCACGACAAGACTCCAGAACTACGGCCCAACAACAAACCCATCGACGAAGACGACGTCGTATGATTCGCCCAGCTATGAGCTTCCGATCTCCGCTCCCCCATTCGCCGTCCATCTCCCCCACTCTTCCGCCATTGTTGGCTGATTTGAGCTCCGGAGCTGTAATTCAACTCCCCTCTCCCCCAATACCTCTCTAAAACCCCTCGCCCGCAGTTGAGAGAGCAGCTTCCGCACGCTATGTTAGGCAGCCGTGTACTGTCCTCTGTTCTGAAGAGGAACAAACAGACGATCGGCAGCACAATCTCCAGTATCGGACGGAAGCCGCCGCCGCAGTTCAGCCGGCAGCATTTCAAAGAACTTCCGACATCTCCGTCGAGGTCCTTCTTCCACGCATTTCGATCTCTTCCAAAGGTAAGTAAATGTCCTCCAAATGGGTCCTTTTTTTCCCTCCAATTTTGTTTGTGTTACTGTGACTCCAAACTTCAATTTCAATTCTTTAATTTGATGGGCAATAGGGTGGTCATAATGCGGGTTCGATGAGGAATTCTTCGACTGTGGCATCAGTTGGGTTGGAGAGTAAGGAGGGAGTGAAGCTGCTGGTAACAGCAGGGCCTCGCGCGCAGAAGATGGTGGGGATTTGGCTCTTTGGCTCGGCTGCCTGGGTTTTCAGCATGGTGATACTTGGCGGTGTAACTCGACTTACCCGTTCTGGTCTTTCCATGACGGATTGGAAGTTCACCGGTCAGCTCCCTCCTCTTTCCGACGAAGAATGGTCTAAAGAGTTCGAGAAATATAAGCAATCCCCCGAGTACAAACGGTTAGTGGGCACAAAGTCTATAACCATTGCTTTTGCATTGCTGGTTTCTGCTTATAAGAATTGAATTGAAAAATGCTTGTTTACTAGAGGTAGTAGGGAAATGGTGGTGGTGAACAAAGGGATGAGCATTCGTGATTTGTAAATGCTTTGGAGAAAAATCCTGTGAATGGAAAAAAATGGGAAAATGGTCTTGTTATAGATCAAGCTTGCATACTCACTTGATTGTTCATTGCCAAACTGTCGCAGTGTCAACAAAGGGATGAGCCTTGATGATTTCAAATTTATTTATTGGATGGAATATGGCCATCGAATGTGGGGAAGAGCACTTGGTCTGATGTTTGCTGTCCCGTTTTCATATTTCATGCGTAAGGGGTATATAACAGTGCAACTTGGACTGAGACTCTCTGGTCTATTTGCCCTTGGTGCTGGGCAGGGTATGATTGGTTGGTGGATGGTCAAAAGTGGTTTGGAGGTGAGGAATACTGGCCTCTTTTCCTGATAAACCTGTCTTTATCGTTTCTACGGATGCGTTAATTATAAAGATGAAAAGTGATTTCTGTACAGGAACCAGCATCAGAATATGCAGAGCCTAGAGTTAGTCCTTACCGTCTAGCGGCGCATCTCACTTCAGCATTTGCTATCTATACCGGCCTTTTCTGGACTGCACTTTCTGTTGTGATGCCTGAACCGCCTGCAGAATCCGTTACTTGGGTCCGGGGGGCAGCAAAAGTTAAGAGACTTGCCCTTCCTGTGAGCCTTATTGTTGGCGTCACTGCCGTATCAGGAGCATTTGTAGCTGGCAATGATGCTGTGAGTGCCAAATTAGCATCCACCCACATTCTGCTTTTGCTTTGATGGCTTTGGTATGTCGATAGAAAATGATTGCCTGTTAAAGCTTTGTTCTTTTCCTTCTACCAATGTAGGGACGGGCATATAACACTTTCCCCAAAATGGGTGAAACCTGGATTCCTGATGGCATATTCGAGATGAAGCCATTAATTCGAAACTTCTTTGAGAACACAGCAACAGTGCAGGTAACATCCCTGTTTTTCCTTCTCTCACCTCTGCATTGACTGCTCAGGAGTCATTAAATTATCATTGTGCTTAACCATGAAATGGAAAGCCCTCAAGAGCAGTATTTCAAAGTAAGCTTAGGAAGAACGATCCGGTCTTTATGGATAAGTAGTTAAGGAGCCATGCTGGTCTAGGAGAATAAGGAAAGGAGTGTAGTGCTGTAGTTACTGATTTGCAGCTTGGTTTGTTTCAGCTCGACCATCGCATCCTTGCCACAACAACTCTAGCTTCAATAGGTGCTTTGTGGTGGTTCACAAGAAAAATAGATCTACACCCTGCAGTGCGAACTTTGATTGGCAGCACTGTGGGCATGACTTTACTTCAGGTATATCTGGCCATCGGGTTGCTGTGACTTCTGCCATTCACTCTTGTGTTCCTGATAAGTGGGGGTCTTTGGTGGGTGTGTAACGTGAGATGGTGTTGTTCATTGTTTTTACAGGTAAGCTTGGGTATATCAACGCTTCTATCGTATGTACCTGTTTCTCTCGGCACTGCACATCAAGCTGGGGCATTAACGCTTCTAACACTGATGCTGCTGCTCAATCACACGGTGCGGAAGCCTTCTTTGTCCCTCCTCAAATCACTGCCTCAAGTGGCCAAGCCACTTTATTGATTAAGCATTTAAAAGGGTTGTAGTGGTGAATATATTTAGATCCTTAGGTGCATACTATACATTATTGTCATGGGATTTTGACTTCTTTGGTTAAGAGTTACACATTGAAGGCCACATTCCTTGGCTTGTTTCTTTTTGGCGGATTTTGCAATTTGAAGGATGTACTATGTAGTATCACGATGAGTATTACAGAATGATACAGATTGAATCAAGTCCTTACGCTCCTGAGCTTGACATTTTCAATTTTTAACCTCCAGGTCGATCTTAGACGACCCGCCCATTGATCCAACAGCAGCAGAGAGAACCAAATTCTAAATCCATGTATTGAATTGCATAGTAAGGATTACATCAGACTCAAACCTACTACAAAAATATTCTCAGAAATGAAACTCGTGACCGAATAAATTAGGCAAGGCAAGATCATCAAAACAATTTTGGGAGAGAACCAAAAGAATACGGAACTGGCTCGTTCGTCAGCCTGTATGCATTGAATTCCAAGTTAATAACAATGGCAATAGGGGCTTTCTGCTACATTTGTTGTGTTTACTGCCTTGGAGCACCATTCTCAGCTTCTAATCGTGCACTATCTAGCTTTAAGAATTCCAACTGCTGAATGAGCTTATTCAGCTTCTCAGTATCCTCGTCCTGTTTATGACGCGGTACTTTCTCCTTGTACCCGGTGGTGCTCATGTTCTTCTCCAGTTTCTCCTGTTGCCTGCGGAAAATGAACAACAAACCAGGTGGTCAATAAGGGCTGAGGGGGGAAAAGTGGTTAGAATGCCTTAAAGCGAGATGAGGTAACCAGCCATATAGTGCACAACCTATAATTGCTCAGCCAGAATGCGCACACAACAAGACATGGATAGTAATTAAGACAGTCATGTTACAACGAAAAGAGAACCCAAGGACAAAGACCATACATAGATATATCAGGCAAGCTCATGCATATTACAAGTGACTGAGCAGAGGTAACTCACTTCTGTATTTCATCGATTTTACTTCTGATCTTCTTGCGCTCTGCTGCTACATCAACCTTCCCTTCTGCCTTGAGATACACTTTAAGGTTCTCATTGACAGTCTCGAAAGCACATCCAGCGGGAGGAGCATCTATCCCGCTCACTAGGACCTGTGAATAATGTTACTATTAGAAACATGGTCGCCGCACAAAGACTTTCTCAAGAAAAAATGAAGCTTCGTTTATTTCAAAATACTGGGGAATAGAGGTACAATTTGAACTACTGTCTTTGCTTTTAGATTGGGCTAGAAGTCGGCACCCACTTGATGCTATTAGTAATTTGCAGGCCACAGAACCAAGTTCCAAATTAAAAAAACCAACAACAAACTTCTATGAACTACGACAAGCAAAAAATATCTGTCCCGATTCTAGAACTTAATTTCTCCAAATACAGATCATCATACCTTTAAGGATGATAAGCTTCCAAGGGTTAAAATCTCCAACTCACGGCCTCTAATAATTGCTGCAACTGCTTCACTTTGGCAAAATGCAAAAGCTGGTAATCTGAGTAAAGAAATTGCACCAAAGAGTAGAGTCATTAAGACACAATGCAAAAATAGGCATTAAAACATTAAAAGTAAGGTCCTTTCTCATGCTGGTATTTTGGTTTCAGAGTGCTCGATCACTTTGACAAGCAGAGAGATATTACTAGTATGAAATTGCAAGTGAGCAAGTGACACAGCGAAAGAGAATGGATGCGTGAATTATTTGAAACAACAAAGTCTTGCCTGTCATTTGTTTGCTTTCCAAGCACCGCAACTCGTAGCGATCTTAGACTTTTCCAAGTTGATTGAGCTAGCTCCATTTCATTTTCCACCAATATATTGTTCCAAACCTACATACCGAAAAGAATTAAGAAAAGTCCACAATTAAGAAACAAACTCAAGCTTGAGATACATAAAGATCTACAGTAGTTGTCACCACTCTTCAGGGACTTGGATCAAAGTGATCCGAGTATAGTGAATGTCGCATAAAGGAATTGACAACAAGAGTTGTCAGCACACGAAAGCCATCGTCAGCTGTCAGAAAGCAGAAAGCTTTCCTAAATTGCCACAAGTCATTACCTCTACTGGTGATGGGTAGTCTGCTACCATAATGGAGTCTTTCTTTGCATGGCTGCTAGCTGAAGGAAGGCGTTGCCACAATTCTTCAGTAACGAATGGCATAAATGGATGCAGTAGCCGCAAGCCATTGTCCAAGCATACCCAGAGAGTGTCCTGTGCCGCACTTCGTTCCAAGGTAAATGATGAACTGTTGCCAGCAAAGTAAGGTTTAATTGCTTCAATGAAAACATCACAGAACTCATACTGCCACCATGAAAAGACTTCGCTGGAAGCATCAGAAAACTCATATGCATCCATTGCAGTCACAGTTTTTGATATCGCCTTGTTAAGGACTGTGAGAATCCACTTGCAGCTAAAGGGCAAGGTCTCGTAAGCTATAGTTAAAGGTGGGGTGTAATCTGCATCAAGTTTGCCCATTGCAAATCTAACAGCATTCCAAAGCTTATTGCACCACTGACGATATCCAACCACTCTCTGAATGTCCAAATTTATCTTATCGGACTGAAATTTCGAAAATGTGAAATAGGATCAGCAAAAGTGGTCAGAATAGAGGGAACTTACTCAAAGATAAAAAAAACAAGCTGATGAAAAACAGAGGCAAGAACCTGAGCTGTGTATGAAACAAGCGCAAAGCGTAATGCATCTGCACCACATTCAGAAATACCATCAGGGAAATCTTTCTTCTGGCCCTCTTTGGCAGTGGCCAGCACGTTTTGATCCAAGTTCCCCTCCTCAAGTCTCTTGTGAAGTCCCTGAAGGCTTATCCCATTTATTACTTCCAGTGGGTCAACAACATTTCCAAGAGATTTGGACATCTTGCGGCCATGTGCATCACGAATCATAGGATGCAAGTACACCTGCATATAAAAAATGAATCCATTAACCAAAATTTTCAAATAATACTTGCAGCAAGTAGACCCAAGGTCGTTTTTTTCGACTTTTCTTCTGATGACTCTGAATGCAGTTGTCAGTTATAAGTAGATAACTTACCTTAGAGAAAGGTAAGTCACCTCCTAGTTTCATGCCTAGCATCACCATCCGTGCAACCCAAAAGAACAAAATGTCATGCCCAGTTTCAAGAACTGAAGTAGGATAAAATGCTTTCAAGTCGTCTGTCTCGTCAGGCCATCCTAAAACAGACAGTGGGAACAATCCGGACGAGAACCATGTATCCAGCACATCAGGATCTTGATTCATCCTGAACTTCTTGCCAGCAAATCTTTTCTTAGCCAGTTCCAAAGCTTCATCCTCATTTCTTCCAACCACCCAGTGGTCATTATAGGCACCAAGTTCTTTCATTTCATCGTCTTCAAGAGTAACATACCATGCAGGAATACGATGACCCCACCAAAGCTGCCTTGAGATGCACCAATCGCGAATGTTTTCAAGCCATCTGCAACATTTGCTCATGCAAACGCAGAAATGTAAATAGGGAAGCTACAAACTATGCCACAAGTAATTAAAAATCTTAGTTTTCCAGTAATAAACACAAACTTAGCACTTGATCAACTTAGTAAGAAAATGTCCACAGCTCAAAGTACCAAATATTCAAATCAATCCCGTTTTATGTGAACCACATTATTTCGCGCAATTAAATTCCAACCAATCAACGACAGTTGGGTCATCATAGAACACTTGAAAACTAAACTACATTAACTAACACGCAGAGATAGGTTTGGCCGTGAAGTGTGTGGGCTAGGAGGCAGAAACTATTTAGCACTGAGCAGAGAATCATTTATTTCAATCAATTGATCCCCACAAGGAAGGAGAAGAGAACCTTTTCCATTCAGCCAAATATTGTTTTGGAATAAACTGAAGCTTTGGAGTTTCACCCTCTGTTGCTGCATCAAGGGCCTGCTTAGCCATACTAGCACAGTTAACAAACCATTGAGGCTTTATCATTGGCTCAACAACATCATTACTTCTTGAACAGAGGCCAAGACGCATCTCATTATTTTTGGCACCTCTGTACAATCCCTACAAATACCAATGAAGTTAGTCATCAATACTACAATCAAGCGGTGACAAAAAAAAAAGTATGGAAAATCCAAAACAAAGCGCATAACAAGAGTCTGGGCTGATCACATGCAATGCACCGAACCCTAGGCAGAGACCACACTCACAAGGTACTAGAAACACAAAATTGTACCTTACAAGGGCCGTGAATTACAGACCTTTGTGCCAGCAGGTGGAATAGTTGTATGTTTTAAGAACTAGAGAGTTTGTACCACAAAATATAACAGACGAAAGTAGAAAATGGATTCCACTTCAACAACCACAAAATAAGTTAAACCAAGAGAGGACAAGAGAATTGCTCTACCTTCTCTCGCAAGGCATTAGTCACTGCTTCACGGGCCTTGAACCGTGGCATCCCAGTAAACTCTGAACCCCCGTTGCTGTTGATCTTACCATCATCCGTAAATATATTTATAAATTCTAGATTATGGGCCTTCCCAACCTTAAAATCATTGGGATCATGGGCTGGAGTAATCTGAGAAGAAAGAAGAACAAGACCACCAGAAGTTATTGACATGTTAATGAGTGGGACCATTTAAAAAGAAGATATGCAGAGTTACCTTTACAGCACCAGTCCCGAAAGTGGGATCTACAATTTCTTTATCACATATTATAGGAATCTTTCTTCCATTAAATGGATGTACTGCAAATTTTCCATGCAGATGGATGTATCTCTTGTCGTCGGGATGAATAGCAATAGCAGTGTCACCAAGCATTGTTTCCACCCTGGTAGTGGCAACTACTATTTCACCTAGCTCTCCCTCCAATGGATAAGCAAATAAGGTCAATAAACCAAATTCAGCCTCTTTTTCATAACCTGGGACCTTCAACTTTGTTCTTTCCTTGATGTCCATATAATCTACCTACAGACACAGAATACAAGTAGCTTTGACGTCAGAATAAGAAAAGAATCAAAGAAAGAAAGAAAGAAAGAAAGTAACAGCTTACCTCAATATCAGATATTGCTGTTCGCAACGTGCAATCCCAGTTCACTAGCCGAAGATCCCTGCACAAGCAAGACAGTCAGTGTCAACTCAGTCAAATGAATTTATTCTTTCATTTATGTTTCACCAGCTGGTGATTGCACAATTTCCCATCTTGCAACAAAAGACAGTACATGAAGACAATCATTGAATGACCTAGATATGTGAAATTCCATATCTCACTTATTCACTTCACAACAATAAGCAGGCATCTTCAAATTAAACAGATACTCTGAATACTATATCTGGGGAACTTAGTCATTCATTTTGCATCAGATTCATTGTCATCCTTAGTGGATGACAGTTGGTTGGAAAAGCAGAGCATCTTCTAGACAGAAATATGATTGTCACGTGTTAAAGTCGTTCGGCATCAATCATTTCATACCTATAGATAAGACCTTCTTCGTATAACCTAACAAACTCCTCTGTGATAGCCCTTGATCTTTTCTCATCCATTGTGAAACACTGCAATACAGGAACATGAAGTAACATCACAAGTGAAGCGAACAGTTACTAGCAAAAAAAATAGTGACATATCATCCATAGCCAAGCCCTAAGATAGAACTTGAAGCTTTTACCTCACGGGACCAGTCAAGAGAAGCACCCAACCTTCGCAACTGTCTCAGTATTGTACCACCATATTCCTCCTTCCATTTCCAAACCTAGGGAAAAGAAAAAACAACCACGAAAGGAAGATTAACTGTAAATTTCTCACTTCGAGACCAAATAGTAAAACATTGATGGTTGAACTGACCTCAGCTACAAATTGCTCACGACCAATATCATGCCTAGTTAGATGGCGTTCACGCATTAACTTCTTCTCTACAACAACCTGCAAAGGCCATTCAGACATTTCTGTTAGTACCCAGTCACAGAACTAGATGTTTCTCATGATATATCATGTACAGAACCTCATGTTACTTCATCTCATTGTCATAAATCCCAGATATAACTGTGCAGATTTCATGCAGAAACAGCACCTCCCCAGCTTTGAATACCTTCCCATCGCTCTCAATATCATTACATAAGAATACAGGTGCACCACTATTAACAACAAAAATGAATAACCAGTGGCACAAGATTCTTGCACAGTAATTCTTGCACATAAGACATGGCTCTATGATTCAGATGTGGAATGGTACCAACTAAGGATAATACAGGAAATCAAATTAAACCCTTCAGTCAATAAAAACACATGCTTCAACTACCAAATTGATCTAGAGGTTTTCACAGATGGAGGACAAATGGGAACAATCGTGAATGAACAGAAAGAGACATTCAAAAAAATTAATTTTATCAGAATTTTGCCCAATGTAATTATATAACGGTAACCTGTGTAGCTATCCCAGCATGGTCCACACCAGGCACCCATAAGGCATTATAACCGGACATTCTCTTCCAGCGAATGATTAGATCCTGCATATGCCAATCTGCCACTTAATAACATAAATTATATACAAAAAAGAACAAGAAACAAATATGACAAACATAAGTCAACCTCTATGGCAGCAGTAAGTGCATGGCCAATGTGTAGGGCCCCAGTTACATTTGGAGGTGGAAGAACCTGCAGAATGTGCACAAACAATATTAACCCTGCAGAGTCATTTCCGAGGACTGAAAAGTTGAAGGAGCAAGGGGGTACAGAGCACTGAAGAATATAGTATCTCCATTTTCGATCTATTTTTCTTTTGAACGGTAGAATATAGAGTATAAAACCAGGAATAAAGCAATAAGCAAATGTTATTCAAACTCTGAGCATCACACAGAATAACCATAGGTTTAATCAATCAAATTTGATAATGGAGCAGAATGGAATTGGTGCTGCTTGTTGAACAAACCGAGAAATTTGAAAAGCAAAAGTTCAGGGCTCACTGATACTCTTTCTAGTCCACCATATTCTACACTAGCTTTTGATTGAGCCAACTTTACATCCAAGTTTGCACTTCTAAACTTCAATGCATTTCAATCTCAGCAAGTGTCCAATGCACAACTGAAGAATACCATATCAACCCCAGCTTAATCATTCCTAACATAGTAAGTGGCCAGAATTATACTCTGGCTCATATTATATATTCCTTTTCTTTTTTATGATTCTCCTGGACAAGTTATAACAATACTGGTCAAAATTCACCCATATGGCCATATAGTTGTTAACATAGCGAAAATTTAGACTCCATAACAACCACACTCAACTATATTCCAGAATCCATCTGCATACACATTGTGCCCAAAGCCTACTGTCACATCATGAAGCCAGCAATCTATGTCCATTAAATTTCTAAAACAGGCAATGGTTTGTAATCATCATCCAAAAATGTCAGTAAAAGGCAATCGAGGAGCAACAGAACTTACGATGACAAATGGCGGTTTGGTGCTCTTAGCATCCGCCACAAAGTAGCCCTCTTTTTCCCACCAAGGATACCATCTAAAAGTTCACCGGAAAATAAGGCGTAAGGGCCCTGAACTCATCACGCCCATCAAGCAAAACAAAAATGCCCAAGACTTACGATTTCTCAACTGCAGTCGGGTTATACTGTTTTGCCATTTTAGCAGAAAGCTTTTTCTTCTCACCAGGATTCGTCTCCGGGTCGACAAAATCCTCCGGGTTCTCGTCGCCGCCAGCATTTCGCTTTGCAGCCTTCTTAGCAGCACTCTTTTTAGCAGCATCGGGTCCTTCTTGTGCCTGATTGTAAAATCATCAGGAAACAAACGGTAATAAACAATTGGCCCCTCTGCCCTTCGAAGCCATGAAACAAAGAAACTGAGAAGTAAGAAAGAAGGCAAATTCTCACCGCCAGCTTACGAGCAGCCTCCTTCTCGGCAGCCTTTTGCTTCTTTAGTTCCTTCTCCTTAGCCTAATAACAGTACGAGATGAGAAACAGCAAAGCAATCTACATTAACTGAACCGAGTGGGAAAATTAAGCTGCGAGGAATGAATAGAGAGCTAAACCTTTTCTTCATTCTTCTTCTTGCGTTCAGGAGTCTCAGCCTTCTCTTCGACTCCTGACTGCACTCATTCCATAATAATTGCTTGTTTCAGTGATTCATAAGGGCAAGCAAGTACGGAACTGCAGAGGGGAAGGAAAAAAACAGAAACGAAGGAAGAAGATAGAGCACCATGGCGGCGGAGATTGAACGCAGGTGGACGGGCCGGGGAAACGATGAAGCGGAGGTGGAAGCGAACAAGCTGCTCCGGCAGGTCTTGAAGATGGCGGAGAGAGTGTTGTTACGCGCCAGAGCAGCGTGAAAAAAATTAAGACTGGGAATTGAGAAAGAAACGAAACGCACACTTAAACCCTATTCTTTTCCTTCCTGTCTTGTCATCACTTGTCTTTTTTCCTTTTCATACCCGGTCCCGGAAAATGATTCTATGTAAACCCTAATCCTTTTTTCCTTTTGCAGGCGGCTCCTGGTCCAACCTCGTGGGCTTCGTGGGCCTAGTTAGGCGTCCTTATGTCTAGTTTGGCAGATATGAAGAGTGTTCAGCCCGTTTTAGTGTTCGGCCCAGTTTACAATCAATGAATTTTCTTTTTTAATTTTGCATGTGCTAAGCTCTTGGTCCTATTGGGGATCACTTTTTTCTTCTTTTTTTTGTCATAGTTATCCGAGAGGGAAGCAGCAAAGATACGACAATATTAGGGATGGAAATTTCGACTTGACCCGTTTTACCCGACCTGTTTGGCCTGTTTTGTAGAGGGACGGGCATGGGTACCTTTCGTTGACCCGACCTGCCCTGACCCGCTCCATTCTCGACCCATTCTTGCCTAAATTACATGTAATCTTAATCAAATTACTTAGAATTTTCTTCATATTAACTCATATTTTAGCTATAATAAAGTTGTAAATAAGTGAAAATCTCAATTTCTTCAATACTTTAACTACATTTTATCATATTATGGTTTATTTCTTGGTCTTTTAATGAAAATAATGAATATTATTAAAGTTTTTCACATAAATTATATACCCATTGGGTCGACCTGCCCCGACCCGCGCCCCATGATAAATTACCCGACCTGGACCCGATCTGCCATGGGGCGGGTATGGGTATCGAGATACTCGGCCCGGACCGGCCTCATTGCCACTCCTAGACAATATGCAAGGTCTCCTAAGATCAGGCTAGAAAAATTAAATAAAACACGATGTTCGTCAAGTGTCTGCACTATCGCTCCAAGGGCTTGTCTTGCCACGATATGGGCAGCCCTGTTATACCTACGGGAAGCGAAATGGAACATTGTACGAAGGAAAGAAGCCTGCAACACCTGAATATCTTGCAGGAGAGCTCCGCCCACTGCGTGCGACAAATCCCTCGCGTTGATCATCCAGACGATCACCTGCAAGCAGCCACACAAAACAAAACATTAGTGAATGAGTGAGTCAGACACCAACGTAAAGAGTCGCGAAGGGCTAGGAGCTCTGCGAGGAATGGGCTAGAGGCTAATACCTATTGGAGATCACTTGTTTGTTAGTTAGTTAGTTAATTTTGTATGTGATTCTTCTTGTCAAATTGTAAGGAATTGTTTCTCTGTTTCAATTTCCGCATTAGTTCTATGATTTTCATTTTTATTGAGTAGAAGTTATGGTTATTGTTCATGTCGTACAGGTATAAAGAATTGTTCGTTGCGTGACGAAAAAGACTCTATTATTCATGGTTCGATTATTTGTCGACCGTCATTCCTTCCTCTTATATTTATTATTACGATTGCCTGAAAAAACATCCATATAGTTGTTCCCTTCTATAAATATCTTTGACAAAAAAAAAATCTCGCAATTTTAATTTTGGAGGACGATGCGAATCTTTCATACTTTTATCTTTTTTATTTTTGGTCTGATTCCAGAGAAAATTTCAGCCATGTGTCCACCATTTTACTATGATGTGGATGAAAATTCTAATGGATTAATTTGACCCAAGTGTCTCGTTTTAATACAATTGGGGCAAATTGACTCATTTAGTAGAGTGAAATTTGAACGGAGCATTTACCTTGAGAAATTTTGAATTGACTCGTTTTGAGGTAATTACAATTGTCATGGGTAGTGTAGTCAAAATCGTGCTTTAAAACTTAAAAACTTACGATTTTACGTTTCTAGGTCACTAAACGCTTCAACACAAAATCTTAGTTTTTACAACTTATGTAGTTAAAAACTCCGCTTTAAAACTTAAAAACTTACGATTTTGCGCTTCTAGATCACCAAAACTTTTCTACGTAGAAACTCGCATTTGACTACATTGGTCATGGGTAGGGACAAATAATTCAAATTGACTCGTTGCAGTTCTCTCCATTAGACTTTCCTCAAGTCATCAACAGACCCTCCAGCGGAAAGCCGGAAACCACACTAGGTTCAGTTCTCTGCACTAGATTCTGTTTTAACAAGATTACAACAGCCAGCCCATGCCTTCCAGTGCCGAGCTTAAGTTACAACAAACTATTCAAGCGAAGATTACCAATCATGAGACAATCAAAACATATATTCACAACACCAGAAAAGAAGGAATTGGGACTGCCTTTGGATTTCAACTCTCCAGATTCTCTCCACCATGCTCCTCGGATGAGCTCGTCTCTGGAAAAACATCGGTGTTTGGATACATTGTTTGAAACAGCTGTCGAGGGAAAAGAGTACTGGGATCAGATTCTCGTCGCCAGAATGGAAAGAACATTGTATTGGTTCATGGTTCATGGAAGATATGCTTTCACATAACTCTGCAGCTTATACATCTACCGCATATAGCATTGCTCATCCCTTATTGAAAAGAAAACTACTAAATACCTCTAGTGTAGCATCGAAAAGTGAACTGTAGTCCAGATCTCCATCGGGGGTGGGCGTGGAAGTGATGAAATCGGATTGTCCCTGGAACATAATCATTCACAGACAAGCAAATGAACAACTGGGATAATTGTGTACATCTATCAACTGGAAGCAAATTCCATCGATTACAGTCAGAGATGATATTCCGGTACAATTCCTCGTTTCATGGGTTGACCCTCAATCATTTCACTACGTCTACTAAGCCAGTCAAATAGTGGAACATCAGATATAAAACAGGGATGCTAAGACCAAATTCAACCAGATATTTAGTCCTTAGTTTGAGGGGAAAAGGAGGAAATGGAACACTTGCCCGACCTACTGTTGATATGAAGAAGCATAGGGAAATTAGTGATTTGAATGCTCGTTTATTTCACTTGACCAAGAAAATTATTGAACAGAGGAAGAGAAGTATACCATAGGTTGCAGCTCCTGAACATACAATGCACTCCAAAGCAGTGCCGGTTTGCCTTCCTCGGAACCAACTGTCTGGCTAACATTTTCATCATGAACAACGGAATCAGACTTGGAACAATCAGGGAAAGCTAGCAACGCACTCATGGCTCCATTCAGCAGCTTCTTCCCTTCAGCACCATCCTCGCACAAAGCCGAAAGGTAGAGTACAAACCTGAAAATAAATCCGACATTTTAGTAAGCTAGTGCTATCTAGTAGTCAAAGAAAATGGTGATCTTATTGGAGACAAACAAGATCCTATTCTGGGGCCCTTCTCTGGAAGCAGGAAAGAGTATTAACAATTGTTAAGCTTTGGTTGAAGCATCTTAAAACAAACAAATAGTTGTTGCACAAGGACAAAAACCGTATTATCCCAATCACAGGTGAAAGAGATGCTCCTAGGAAATGACATGTAGTCCAACATAAATATCATATTCTGCAAGACAATCCAAACTTACATTCCCACGGGACATATGGCTGAGTTGCCACCAATCTGAAGAACTCGAATTGGTGTGAACTGCTCTGGGTACAATGCTGGAATAGAAAACGAGCAAGCGAAAAGGTGCTATTAGCATTTGATCTTTCTTACACCTTTAGCACAGTGTATATGCAAACCTTAGAAGTTGATCTTACATTGAGGAGGATATAAAACCAAAAGATTTGATATGCCTGGCTTCAAAGAACGTTTTGTAATGCAAATTCCCCTAACCACCTTGCTTTTGACTGTTTGGACAGTTAGATGCGGAGATTTTACGCAGAGAGGATCCGCTGGAGATGTACTTGGTGAAGAAATAGTAAATGCTGGATTCAGAAGAAGTTTATTGCTAAACAACTCCTGACCAGAAGCCAGCTTTACACCCTTGTAACTGCCACTACTCTGTCGTTGTTCCAAGAAAAAAGTAATGCATTATTACCTCATAATAGGTTCAAGATTATCAATTACAGATCAAATATACCACAATTTATGAACCGTGCCAAACCTTTTCCACAAGTAAGCCAACCACTCCCATCCGCAACACCTGCAAGCATAGGTTACAGTTACATTTAAGTATATCACCTTCAGCAAGCCCATCAGAAACCGCTATATTCTTTAAGAAAGCTTCTGTTACACAACCGTGTAACCATCTGCGAACCAATAGTCCCAAAAATTTCCGAGATGATAGTGTTTTTTTTTTTTTTTACTTCTAGACATCCTCAAGCGCAATATCAAAAAGTGCCAACCAATGATTTCATGAAAGACGGAACAGAATCTTGGTCCTCAAACAGTAGAGTACCACCTTCCAAATATTAGTCCTAGTGCCAAAGCCCAGAGGTTCCATAAAAACCCATTTAAATAGTGTTCATGGCGTAACTAACCCATTGAGTAGGTAAAATACATAAAAGCAAGTTTGAGGTTTTCTGTGGAAAGCTTGATCATGGTTTAAATGCCATCATAGTAACTCAAGCAATATGGAAAATCCAGAGCACTGAACATCTATAGCATGCAGATATTGAAAAAAAGATACAGATGTGACAAGAGAATAATAAAAACAAAAAAAAGATTTTCCATAGATCGCTAGTAAAAAAAAAGACAAACAAACCAAGGTTAGGGTTAATCTCAACAGAGCTTACATAAATGCAACCCTTCACGGCTGCTCGACGGCAAAATGCTTGTGGTAGTTCCCCTTGACCGTATATAGGATAAATAAAAGGCCCATATGCATTTGCAAACCTGAACAACGAAGGCAGTTGCATCAAAACGATAACCAGCATACTTGTAACTTGTAAGTAAAATTAACTGTATTCTTCATTACATTTGTACATGTTTCAGTATCTAGTCTAGGAGTAGGATTTTGTATCACTTAAATACACTTTAACATGTTTCAGTATCTAGTCCAGGAGTAGGATTATATATCTCTTAGTTACACAAGCACATTGCACAAACTGTTATGCAAAAGTATCAGACCAGCATATACATTTCAAATAGATGAAGACCATGCCTGATATAAACACACAGCACGATTTCCCACTTCCATTCCATACCGCAGTAAGAATAAGTATAATAAATAGACAGGACGAGCAATGAGGTAAGAAAACCTTCCAATTGATGACTGATAGCGAGCTAAACGATCAACTCCATCTTTTGTTTTAAGTAGGTGCTTAGAAATTTCCCTGTTCTCCTGATCGTGGTCCACCATGGCTATAGCATATAGTATGATTCTGCAAAGAGTAATAATAAAAGTAAGATTTTCAACCAAGGCACTCGATATCAGAGAAAATTATAGTCATCATAACATAGTTTTCAAATCCCATGATGAGAAACAAACAAAACAATTATGTTAACATTGAAAAGCTCATCCACCAGAAGGCTATCCTTAATAATTAATAATTGTCACATTGCAAATATTGAGTAGAAAGGAAAATAAATTGCAATCCAAACACATCTACAATTGACAACAAACAATCGATGCACCATAGCTGCTTAAGCGACAACAAGAAGTTTCATAATGGAGAGGCTCATCAAGCAAAACTAGCTCTAAGAAAGCATAGAAGTAAAAGAAGCTCACTAATGAACAGAGAAAGGCAGGAACAGCAGTGTGTACGATTTAATCTTTGGTGGCAGCTGCATTTTTGTCAAGAAGTCGACGAAAGGACTCTCCAAATCTTCCTCTGATATCATGCTTGCAGCCTCTTGTACTTCACCTTCTTCATTTTGGTTTTCATCGATAGTAGATGCTGCTGCTGCTGTAGCTCTTAAGTGCCCTTGTACCAGTTTAAAGAACCTCATCAACTGATTCTTCTGAATCAAGTTCAAACTCTTATCCTTAAATATTGCAGCCCTGGAATCAGGAACTGCCGATAATGCCCCGTTCCCATCACCAATGAAGCTGGCATCAATGCCCTTAAATTCCACATACTGGCTTGCCTCGGATTTCATCATAAGATCAATGGCCTTGTCTGCACAAAATAATACCCTAGGACCAGATACATCCAGAAGGAACTTTCTAGAGCATTCTTCCAATAACGTTGGGGACAAAGAGGAGATCTCAACATCCGAGTAAAGAGATCGGCAACTGAGATTGATGATAGAAAAATTAGGGTCTTCAGTTGCACCGTCAGCAGCATGTGAGGATGATAGGGAGTCGAGAGGAGCAGAGCTGGAATTCAAGAAAGAGGTGAGTTCTGGAATGGATAGAGACGCGAAATGAGAGCCATAAAAGGGGTTTGGATCAAGATGAAGGACTGATTTCCCAGAAGTGGAAGCTGCAGCTGCAATCACAGACTCAGGCAAACCCGTCCCGATGACAATGAGGTCAAATGTTGTTGGGTCGACTGGCGGGTACCGAGGAGGTTCACTCATTGCAAGCACTGAACCAACAATCACCGGAAGTCTGAATTGAACTAAATGCAGCTGGTAAAAGTAGAGGTTGTTTCTGTGAAAAGAAGATTTGTGATTAGTGAAAACCAAGAACAGATGAATTGGAATAAGCAAAAATACCAAGACCAAGTAATCCTAGTTCCGTTGTGCTTGTGTCAACCCAAAGAAATGCAAATTTTCAGCCAAGTCCACGTTTAACACGAATTACATATAGAAATCAACGGAAAAGAGGGATTATCAGGATTGATTGGGAGTGAAAACCCATTAATTCCATCAATTTTCGAATTCCCCCGAACTTTCGTATTCAAGAACCCTAGAAATTCCAATCTACAGACACCATCCTCCGCAAATCATAGATCAAGAATGGTTAAGAAGCATACCTGGAGCGTGGAAGAGGGAAAGGAAGGAAGAGACAAGAGGTGGAGGCAGCTGATTGTCGCCGGGAACTGACGAACAGGTAGCCGGCGGCTGGATCACGGTGGGCTGGGCGGCGGCCGGCACCCAAAAATCCAAATGGTAAAACTTTCGCTACGCTGCAACGGCCAACGGAGTCGCTTGCTTCTTTGAATTTGAAAAAAGAGTTATATACTTACAAACAAATCCTTCTACTTTGCTTTCATTGACAAATACCCCCTTCTACTTTCATTCTTAACAAACACACCCTCCTACAATCCGAAACATGCCGAACATCTCATCCGTCACATTCTCCATCCAAAATGTCGTTAGTTGCAATTTTCGATTAATCATAAGATTAATCAGGTCAATCACATTATCAATCAGGTCGACAAAACTGGGATATTCCATCAATTTTGAAGGTGATGGGACCATTAAAAGCCCCGGGGGCTGATGGGATGCCTGCTCTATTTTTCCAGAGAAACTGGGATATTCTGGGGGAAAAAATTACAACAGAGCTACAAGGGTATTTAGAAGCGGGCAGTTTCCCTCAAGAACTGAATCATACCCTGATAGCTTTGATACCTAAGAAGAAGAGTCCCCAAACCCCGGCTGATTTTCGCCGTATTAGTCTATGCAAGGTGTTATACAAAGTACTATCGAAAGTCCTGGCCAACAGACTAAAAAGGGTGTTGAATGAGGTAATTGTTCCAAATCAGAGCGCATTCGTGCCTGGCAGGCTTATCACTGACAATGTGATGATAGCCTTTGAGTGTTTCCACTCGATGAAAGCGAGGAAATCAGGAAATAAGGGTTACGTAGCTGCTAAGTTAGACATCACTAAAGCTTACGACAGGGTTGAGTGGTCTTTCTTAGAGGCTATAATGCTAAAATTGGGGTTTGATCCTAGATGGGTTCGGATGGTCATGACTTGCGTCACTACAGTTTCTTTTTCCACTCTGGTTAACAGCCATCAAACTGAGAAATTCTTCCCTAGCAGAGGTTTGAGACAGGGGGATCCAATATCCCCCTATCTATTCTTATTTGTAGTTGAAGGCCTATCTGCTCTGATAACAAAGGCTGAAAGGGAGAAGAAGATTGAAGGGTTGAAAGTCAAGAAGAATGCACCTCAAATCTCTCACCTACTTTTTGCTGACGACAGCATTTTATTCATGAAGGCTACAAAGACTGAGTGTGAACAGGTGAAGGAAATTCTGAGAATATATGAGGCTGATTCAGGTCAGCAAGTTAACCTAACTAAATCAGAATTATCTTTTAGCCCAAATGTGAGGCATGAGAAGCAGGTCGAGCTGGCTGGATTATTAAATATGAAGAGAGTTGATCAGCATCAAAGGTACCTGGGATTACCTACACTGATTGGCAGATCAAAAAAGCAAACTTTTGGCTATTTGGTGGATCGAGTTAGAGCAAAGGTGAAGGCCTGGAAGGGAAAACTATTATCGGTGGCAGGTAAGGAGATTCTTCTAAAATCTGTAGCTCAGGCACAAATGACATATGCCATGTCTGTTTTCCAAATTCCTATGAGCACTCTCAAGGAAGTTAAAAGGGTTGTGGCTCATTTCTGGTGGGGGCAGCAAGAAGAGGAAGGGAAAACCCACTGGCTAAGCTGGAAAGAGCTCTGTAAACCTAAGAAATGGGGAGGAATGGGATTCAAGAACCTACAGAGTTTTAATCTAGCTCTGTTGGGCAAGCAACTATGGAGGATTGTCCAATTCCCTGACACCTTGGTGGCAAAGGTGCTAAAAGCGAAATACTTTGAGGATAGAAACCCTTTGGAGGCGGAAGTGGGGAAAAACCCAAGCTGGGTGTGGAGAGGTTTAATGGCGGCAAAGGATCTAGTTAGAAGGGGAGCAAGATGGAGAGTGGGAAACGGCAACAAGATTGATATATGGCTCGATAAATGGGTGCCAGCGAGTAAAAACTTGCGAGTCACTTCGCGAACCTCTCCTTTGGGTGGTTCTACATCAGTGGCAGAACTTATAAACCATAAAGCAAGGGAATGGCGTACAGATTTACTTCAGAGTCATTTTAACCCTACCGATAGGGTGAACATTCAAAAAATCCCGATCCCGCGACAGCCTATGGAGGACAAAATGATCTGGGACAAGGAAAAATCAGGGCGCTACTCTGTTAAATCAGCCTACAGACTATGGGAAGAGCGGAATAATGAGGAGGAAGGAGAGCCTTATACCCCTGTGAACTGGAAAAGACTCTGGAACCTTAAAATCCCGCCGAAGGTAAAGGTTTTTGCATGGAGATTATTGAGAAATATACTCCCTACAGGGGCACGAATTTGGGATCGAATGCAAAAAGGAAGTGAGGGATGCCCATTCTGCGACCTAAGAGAGACACAAGAACACATTTTCCACCACTGTGATTGGGCTCGAAGAGTGTGGAGGTACAGTCCTATGAACTCCTATATCGAGAGGGGGGAAGCTCTTACCACTGAAGAATGGTTCTGCGAGCTTCAGGAGACAGAATCGGATGAGCAAATGGGGGCGTTCTTGGTAGCGCTGTGGTTTATGTGGGATCAGAGGAATTGCCAGCTGTGGAACAAAAAGAAATTAGAGGAGTGGGAGATAACGAGGCGAGCAGAGGAATGGTTAAAAGATTACCTGGAGAAACAGGAGCAGCAGCCAGCGATGGATCTGCCCGGAAATCGGCAAGGGCAGTCACCGATTAATGCGCCTGTGATGATCTCGGTCGATGCTGCATGTATGGAAGGGAGGGGAACTGGATGGGGAGTGGTGATTCGAGAGAAGGAGGGGGGTTTCAGGCTCGCAGCGGTGAAAAGATCGAGGGTTCAATGGAACCCAGAGGAGGCGGAAGCCATGGCTATTGGTTTTGGTTTAGAGCTTGCAGAAAGATTGGGGATCAGGGAAATGGCGATAGTCTCGGATTGTTTGGGGGTGATTCAGCAGCTGCGGAAGGAAGAGGATGGAGAGACTGAAATTGGGCTCGTCTGTGGGGAAGTAAAGAAACGGGCCCGTGAGTTGGGGTCAGTGGCTTGGCATTATGTGGGCCGAGAGAGAAATAAGCCTCCTCATGTTATGGCACATATGGATTGTGTTTGGGAGGGTGATGAGATCTGGGCCGAGAGCCCACCTTATTTTATTGTACCTCTGTTAAGAGAGGATCTTGTGGGACAATTTGGATTTTCGGATTAATTAATTGAATGAAGGTACCTTTCAAAAAAAAAAAAAATTCAGGTCGACAAAACCAATCATATCGACTATATTGTTAATTAGATCGACCACAATATCGATGAGGTTGACCGACTCTTTTAACTTTTTGTAGAAATATTGATGGTTAGTTCTGTAGAGCGAATAAATAGCTTTTGAGTGAATGCATTTGAGGACTTCGTTAATTCGTTGCAAATTAGCGGCGGAAGTGACGGGATAGCCGCCGCATGGTTTCCCGGCCAAGGCAGGCGCCGGCGGTGACAAAAGGTAATAACTAAAATTCAAACAAAATCCTCTCGTTTCCAACAAAAATGGCGTTTTGCGGTTGTCGTATTCCCCAAAATTCTGCTCACCTCCATAGCTTAATCCTTTTTTAATTCCAATTCGGATTGAAGCTCTTAGCTGACGTTAGTCAACAGACAGCGATATTGGTGTATTCTTTATTATTGCGCTTCCATAGTCGAGAGTAGCTCTGCCCAGTTTGCGTGCACTGTACACCGTAGATTCCTTCTTTCTCTTTCTCCCTGCCATTTTTGCAATTCATTGCAATGGCGGAGTAATTGCTTTGTCTCTCCTTTCGTTTGGCAGTAGTACTGTAACTGCTCAACTGTACGCTCGGTCCGCATTCAACTCTCCCCACCACGGTTTCCGATTTGTTTCTGTTTCCTTCTCTGCCGATAAACCCTCGGAAGGGAACGAGGGAAATCTGTTCTTGCAGTTTGGGGGTGGAGTTCCTAAAAAAATGTCGCAGATTGGGTCATGATCAGGCGCTTCTGATGTCACTCTCTGATCGCCATTGACGTATTTCTTGGACAAATGCGGGGGGGCTAAAAGCTGATTGGGTTGTTTTGCTCCATGTTCAGAGGTCTGTTCTTTCCTTGCTTCTTTACCTTTTCCATTTTGCCGAGGGACGTCTGGTATTTTCATTTAACTAGAAAGCATTCTTTTTGTGTATACCCTACTACCTGGGCCCCTTTTCTGCATCATTCGCTTGGTTCTTTGCATTGCATTGACACATCTCTTTCTGCGGCAGCTGGAATCTCAAATCAGGGATGTCTGGTATTTTGTTCTATTGTGTGTTTTTTTTGTTTTTGTTTTGGGAACAACTATTGTATGTTTGCCAGAGAGAGAGATGGAGGTGGTGGTGTTGGTGAATGTTGATGGAGAAGATTCATTCAATACAGTGGTGGGCAAGAACCAGGTCTGGAGATGAGATGAGATGAGGGTAACAATAACTGTTCTTCTTTGAGGTGAAAGTGAGGGACCACTGGATTTGGTCCCTTGTTTTAGTGGATCAATCCCTCTTCATCATCATCATTGCCCCATAGATTGGAAAAAAGCTTCCTGTAAAGCCAAAAAAGCATAGTCTTTTTCAATTTTCTCCCTTCACTGTTTCTGCATCCACTACCTTCGTCCTTTTGCTTCCCTTTTGAAAAAGAGTTCACATGCAAAAACTCTGTCGATTCCCTCTCTTTTTCTGCATTCCCAAAATCCCCTCCTTTTTTGAATTTCTGCTCTTCTAGGAATGTGTATGAGTAAACCCAAAAGCGCTCAAAAGTCAGTCTATCAACTTCTTGTCTCTCTCACACAAACTCGAACAAACAGTTGGTTGTGAAGGTATGGTGGTCAACTTCTGCTGTGTTAGTTGAGTGTCTGCAATCTACCCCACTACTTCCTCGCTTTCCCCATCCCTCTTTGCCGAAGAACAGTTCCTTTGAACCACTTGCCTTGCTTTTCTTCCCCATTTTCTATCTTTCTTTTTCCCCTTTATTCATTTTAGTGCTGGATGGGCGATGGTGGATGGAGGGTGGTTTTCCAACTACAGCAACATCAAATGAAAGTCTGCTAAATTTAATACATGCCCTTTTGGTCTCAATCATACCCTCATAAGTTTCAGAATTTTTTTTGTTCTTCACTCCCCTTTTTCTCCCTTCTCTGACTACCATACGGTGAAAGTTGTAATGAACATGGAAGGTACTGTTGCCTCAATAACTATGATGGTGTTTGTACATTTTGCTTTCTTTTCATTTTCTATCGACTTTCCTTTTCGAGCTCTCCTGAAACTCAAACTTGTGTTCCTTGCATTTGTATGCTTGTGTTGAAAGTGACTGGTAGCTGCGGCATTGATGAATGTGTTTGTACTCATCACGTGTTCACAGGTTGGCACGGTTTATTTCCTGTATCTTAGCATCTATGTAACGATGTCCTGTCTTTTCTGTTTCTTTTGGGATTTTTCGTCTTTGCCAAAGATCCTTTCCCAGACTCCCAATATAATAATTCCAGTCCTTCGCCCTTCGTTGAAGTAAGCCTTGAGTCTTAATGAAACTTGTTTGTACATGGATTAAACCTCTTCGTACAGTTGCCTAGCTATCAGGGAGATCTTAGGATGTGTGTTTTCTGATAAAAGCCAAGCTCAGAAGATGTGCGACTCACCTGCCACTAGATCTTCCTTCAGCCAGTATGACTCTAGTTCTTTCCTTGTCTTCTATTATCCATGCTGCTCTTGTTTCAGCTTCATTCCAATGATGGTCTTTTTTTGCTTTTTTCGCCTGGTTTCCACAGGAATGAAGCCATCTGCAGAACTTTGACTTCTGGTGCAACATGTGGCAATTCAGGAACTCAGATAGATCCTGCGAATGAATATTCATGTTGTGATTCTACACTAGAGGTCAGAATTCGCTATTAACGAGGCTTGAATTCTCTTGATTAAGTTTATTATGAGCTGGGAAAGTATTAATATTGCACCTTTGGCTCCTTGACATGCCAAACATTTAGTGGCTGAACTAAACTGAGTGACTAGCAACTTAGCAAGCGGTGATATGGGGTTGAACTAGTTCTTTTTCTTTATTAAGATATCTTACCTTTATTTATATTTGAAAGTGCTGATTTAGCTGTACTTAAATGACAAAAAACTCCTATTAGTTGGTAATGCCGTGGAAACTCTTGTCTGATCTGAATCTAAAGGCATATGCTTGGAGCCTTGCTTTAGAGCTTTCTTCTCAATAATTTTCTTGTTTTTCTTTCCAAATAGTAATAACGCGGTATATACCTTTTTCATTTGTCTTGTGTAAGATAAAAGTACATATAGAGACATGCGCATTGACACTTCAATTGGCAAATTGCAGGTCAGCAATATTGCAGAAGGTTCTAGACTTCTAGTAGCCCTGGTTCAAGTATTAACTGCACAACATTTTATCCTTACAGAATCCAGCTTGAGAAGGATGTAAGTTAATGTCATTCCAGAAGTCTCACATTTCCCCTTCCTTTGTTATCTCTGTTTCATGTATTTTGCTATTAAGAGCTCCTGTGAAATCAGTAGGAACTGGTACTGTGATTTTGTATTTGGTATATTATCTAAATGATAGGTGTATGTTCTTCTACGAGAGGACAGGTTCAAGGTACATGTCAAGATACTTTAACTAGTGTTCGAGTAAGGTTTAGGCTTAGAATAATTGTGAGAGCTTCACTTCATGATGTTCGTTGATACGAAGAATGTCACTATTAAGATTTAAGATACAGAGGAAGTTACCTGGATACCCCATCTGTCTGATTCATGTAGGGCATTCTATTACATTTTACTACAGATCTTCTTTTATTATTGTCCTCTCATACTTGATAGGGAGTTGTGTCATTGGATTTCTGATAATTGGGCATCTTAATTGCTGATATTTTCAAAAATTAACTGGAAATCCAACAAATTTACCTTAGATGCTTCTGAATATGCTGTCATTTTGGAACAGGTTCAAAGGTTACAACAGCAGTTGCAAGCGGAGCTTGAAATGCATTTGATACTGGAAAATGCTATTGAGGAAAGCTCAGTGAAATTTTCTTGTGGATCATGCCTTCCACATCAAGTATGTGACTGAATTAGTTCAAGAGTTTAATGATTTGCATATGCCTGTAAATCATCACGAAAGCAATCTCTGTGGAGTGTAAGGAACACTTCATCCATGGCGATTTGGCATTCCCTCCAAATGGGCATATGATTTGTGTTAATAACCTGTGCAGGCGATATAGCTCTCTGTTTCTCAAGTCTCGGTTCTATAGTGGTATATAGTTTGATATTTAGTTTGAAAATGGATAATGTTCTAAAACTTAATTCTAAGAGTTTTTTTAATTGCATAGTCTGCTCTGAAGAAAGTTGGAAGCTGTTCGAAAGAAATAAAGAGTTCTAGTAGAGATAGAAACAAGTTCTGAAATTGGGGTATCATCTTCCACAATTCTATCAGGCCATCTAACAAGAAATGTTAAAGCTCATTTATTAAGAGATATTGAAGAGAAAAAAAAGTTTTGGCTGTTGCTATTACAACTCTTTTGCTGGCTTAGAAGATTTTGCCATCTCTGAAATGTTCTTAATTTTTTTTTTTTCCCTCAAGCAGTTGATGCTTAGACCGTTTCTGCAGGTTCAGGAGCTTCTCTCCACTATTGCCATACTGGAAGTTACAGTTACTGAACTTGAACAGAAAATTGTCTCATTACATTTCCAGCTTAGTCAAGAGAGAAACGAGCGACGGCTTGCCGAATATCAACTGAGGCACAAATCACTGCCATCAGTTTCTGATTGCTCCTCTGACTATAATAAAAGAATGGTAATTAGTCTGGTATGTCCAACGATGTTAATTTTCAGGGAAGCAATGAGAATTTTGCTACTTACTGAATGTGATTTACCAGATTCCTTCTTTGAGATGTTCCAAGCATTCTGATTCCGAACTTCCTAACTTGGATGGAGATGTCTTCTCCCAAGACAGAGGCCTGGGGCCTACCATTGCTATGGAAACTTCTTGTTCATATGTTATCCCTGAGGTACTTTCTGGTTCTTGTTTGCTTCTCAGATTTTCCCCCTTACTTCGAACAATTACCTCCCTGTTGGCACGTTGATATGTTTGTGCTGCCTTTGATTTAAACATATTTTGATTTAAATCAGGATACGCTCAGAGTAACTTCGTCTTTGGAGAACAAAAAAGTAGTTCCAAAGACAGGTGCCAAACTGGGTCAGCATCTACAGCCAAAGCTTTCAAAGGGAACACCATTGATTGGTCTCTGGGGTCACCCTAATAAACTTTCTGAGGAGATGGTTAGGTGTATGAAAAATATATTCATCTCTCTATCGGATGCTGCTATAACATCCATGTCATCTACATTGTATAGTCAATCTTCATCTGTTTCTCCTCAAGGGCATCTTTCTAATTCATCATGGTGGTCATCGTCCGAGCGCTCGATATTATCATCATTGGTCCAGAGCCCCCAAGTCGATATCCAGAATAACAGTGAAGTGTTGTCTCCTGAGAATGTGTTTGATCCCTATAGAGTGCGGGGTAAATTAAGCTGGGCTGACATTGGCAACTATGCCTTAGCAACTGAAGTTTCCTGGATGTCAGTTGGAAAGAAACAATTGGAATATGCCTCGGGTGCATTGAAGAAGTTCAGGTAATTGCCCTCTTTACAGTAAAGTGTATATCAAAATTTCAAGCAATTTTGTAGATCTTGCTCCAAGACAATTCCTTTATTGTGTTCCTCCTTACGTACTAGAACTAATTGTATTTGTTGCATGGTTGGTCTCAACATTTGTGGGGGACAGAACACTCGTTGAACAATTGGCCAAACTTAACCCTATTCACTTGAGCTGCAATGAGAAGCTTGCATTCTGGATCAACTTGTACAATGCACTGATCATGCATGTCAGTAACATCCCTCCTATTAACAGTATTGTAGTTTGATGTAATGGATTGTCACCTATCAAACAGGTTAAATTTTTCTCGATCTCCTTAACATGTTGAAAATGGCGGCAGGCTTACTTGGCTTATGGAGTCCCTAGAAGTGACCTCAAGTTGTTCTCTTTAATGCAAAAGGTTTGGTTCTTGATTTGATTCTCTTTTATCCTAGCCATTCTTCCCACTTGGATTAGTGCTAATGATGTCCTGCAATTATGTCTCGACTGTTTCAGGCTGCTTACACTGTCGGAGGCCATTCTTTCAGTGCAGCTGCCATTGAGTACGCGATTCTGAAGATGAAACCTCCTCTCCACAGACCACAAATTGTATTTCCACAAAGCCTGCCAAATTATTCCCTTTTGTTTTCCCCGTGTTGTTAAAAAAAAAAAAAACAGTTAACCATCGTTAGTTCTCGTTTCTACTCATCACAATCTCTCTCCCAGGCTTTGCTTCTCGCTCTTCACAAATTGAAGGTGTCAGGAGAACAGCGGAAGTGTGCAGTCGATGCACACGAGCCGCTTGTAGCATTTGCACTCAGCTGTGGAATGTATTCATCTCCTGCGGTAATGTCCTACATCTCCTGTAAGAAAAGCAGTTACTGTGGCCCATTTTATTGACTCTCAACATCAAATGCCAATGGGTGAAAAATTGCTTGCAGGTAAGAGTTTACACAGCAGAGAACGTAAGAGAAGAGCTCGAAGAAGCTCAGCACGATTTCATCAGGGCCAGTGTTGGAGTCAGCAGCAGAGGGAAGCTGTTGGTGCCTAAGCTGGTGCACTGCTTTGCTAAAAGCTTTGTGGATGATTCCAACTTGGCCGTGTGGATATCTCATTACCTGCCGCCGAATCAGGCAGCATTCGTCGAGCAGTGCATCTCGCAGAGGCGGCAAAGCCTGCTGGCTTCCAGGAACTGTGGGATCATGCCTTTCGATTCTCGGTTCCGGTACCTGTTCTTTCCTGGTAAGGCTTGATTTAGTCTGCAGAGGGATAAGTTCTTTTTTTGTTTTTGTGGGATAGGCCTGTAGAAGAAGTTTCATCATGTCCCTTACTGAGGCTGCCAGATGCAGATAAGTTGTGGGTCTTCAGTGTAAATGTAAGTCAATGAGAAGAAGCTTCTGTCTGTAGTAAGTAAAAGGAGAAGCATCATTACTTAATGTTTGTATAAAGTGAAAGGGCAAACTTTCATGAAAAAGAGTACGTTATGTCATTCATAATGACCAACTTAATAACCAAAATGGAAGCTGTGATTGCTTGAATATCCTACTTACCTAATCCCGGATCGCCACCCACCCGAATCGAAAAAGAATGTGAGCGGACAGTGAGTCACAATTATACCAACTCGTTAGTAAGTGGGTCCGTTAATTTGAGACTAAAACTCATCCAGTTTGCCCATTGCCCACTCTACTTCACGTTTGTGTTTCCTATCATTTTTAATAATGACAAGTGTGTCCTTATTTTACAAATTTGCATTAATTATGGTCAAACACTTGAAATACAAAAGATATTAAAACGAAATGTTCATATTGGTTGGATTTAGTATTAGCACCATGTTAAAAATTAGTTGTTAGCACCCTAACTCAGCTTCTACGGGATGATGCATGCTTGTGGGTGGTTGTGAATATGTAAATGAAGTTGCATTTGGTTTAGTGATGACAGATCCCGACCTCAAACACACGACCAGAGATAGTGTTGGATGAGGGCATGGGTATTGCTTTCGACCTGTCGCGCTACGCCTCACTTCTCTCTATCATCATTTACATAAATATCTACTTGTATTTCTTCTCTTTTGACCTCTCTAAAATCATATTTTCATTCCAAATAAATTTGAAGACTCTATCTTTCAACTATTTAGACTCAATTATTCCTTATACTATATTTCTCATTAATTTATGAAAAAATTTCTCTATGCGTTCTTATAAGAGTCAAATATTAAAAAATAATAGATATTACTTGATCTAACCAGCGAATAGATATTAAGGTACCCAACCCACACCATGCCATTGCCATCATTCATTTGATTAAATAAATTAGTGGAGTTATTCCAATTTTATCTATGTCTCCAAGGACAAATTAGTGGAGTTATTAATACTCCCTAATGAGATATATAGCACACTATTTGCAATTTCCATTCTCCATCGTGGGCCGGGCGCATGGACCAAACCGTGGGTCAACTGCTTTGGACCAGGCCTTGCTTGACTTTGGAGTCAACACATCGCGTTTTCCACGGAAGCTTCGATTCATTCATATTTGGGCCATTCAAACAGCATGATCCAGATCCACAAACGTCTATTCGGACTTTTAAGGTTAGCGGTCAAGGAAGGCAAAGTACGCTAACAAGCCGAAGAGTCTTCCTGGACCTGCAAACCCCACGAGACCAACTCAAAGCAATCCCCATCTCGGGCTGGCCCAATAGAAATGGGTACACTAGATGGATCCATTATTGGGGGTGGGTCTTCTAGTAGGTCAATAAAAAATGTGGAAGCAACTTCTAAAAACAACGATTTATGTTATGCCATGCTTTCCAACTACCGAATGATTTACATCGACGTATGAATGCACATACGACAAGATTTTCGATGGAGTGTTGCTTACGAGTCGTCGAGAGTGGATTCAATGGATTGTCTGGGAAGTACCTTTTGTGCTATCAAACATGAAGGTGGCTTGGGTTACATGGGATTTGGTTGATTTAATCAAGTTTTTATTGGCAAAATTTGAATGATCCAATCCAACTGCTTTAATCGTTCGGATATGTAGGGCAGCTAGTAGGTCTGACGAAATTTTTGCTTCGAGACGCTCATGGAGCATGTTTACTAGCTTCCGCTTATAGGTATTGACTGTATCAATCAGACATATTTACTATGACGACATGTCATCTATGAAGAGTGGAAGCGCTATACATTTGTGGCGATGCGAAAGCAGCGGCGTAGCCATGAATCTTGACGAGGGGGCTAAAAATTTACGTTCATAGAATTTAAAATGGTGAGGGGGGCTAAAGCATTACTACTACTATATTTCTCAAATTTATTACCAAATTTAAATGTAATTTTACATGATTTCGAGAGTTGAGAGGGGGCTATACCCTCCCATGGACTTGACGTAGCTTCACCACTGCGCGAAATTCATTATTGACAAATGTCGAATCAGGCATACTAAGGATGCTAAGGTATAGTTGTGTTCTCATGCGCCCATGGGTACCCGTTGAGTTGGGTGCGATTTTCTCTTCTAAAACCAAGTAAGTATTTTACTGAATTTTATTGACGAATGCACCAGCTGAGTTGTAGCGGCGGATCCAAGGGGCCGCCCTCGGGCTGCGGCCCAACCCTTCTCCGGATCAAAGCTAGTATATCACTTGTAATTTTTTATTTTTATTTTCGGTAATCGTTTAAGTGTTCGTTGAACTACGGCCCAACCCATCCTGCCTCTTTTCAAAATGTGGCCCAGTGCTCTACCCAGTGGTGAATCCGCCGCTGATGAGTTAGATTTGGGTTTTTGAGAAACCCGACTCAATCCGACCCATTGTCATCCTACGAAACAATACAAGTTGTTTATAATGTAGAAAGAAAAAATAAATGATCATTTTAATCTCATCGTTTTAAATGTGAATGTACTTACAATCAAGGAGTCATATCTAATTACAAATACAAGTACACAAACACATAACAATGGTTGTTGACCCTACTCGAGACCCAAAATTGTGTGGCGTCGTATATCAAAAAGAAAATTCCAAAGTCAACATCTGATGATCCGTCTTATTCAACGGCCTTTAGCGATTTGACGGTTAGTGGTCTAGAAGGCAAAGTCCCCATCTCAGGCAGGCCCAACACCAAAAAGCTGGATTAAGATGGATCCGACCCACGGCCCAAGCCTGTCCAACCAATTCTGACATGATATCAGAATCAGACACTCTCCGTCACGGCTCACGGGCCGGAAGGGTAACAAATTGGCCGATGAAATTGGCCGCATCAACCAGTTCACGTGGGAAAGGTGTGGCAATGGTATCCCGTTGTCCTAGGATGACAAAAATATCTGTAATCATGGATATCCGTTCGAATATGACTTAATCGGGTAGGATAATACTCGAAATTGAAAAACTTTTAGTGGGTACGTATAAAATCCGAACCCGAATATTGTGGGTAATGGGTGAACATGGTTTTCTCACTATCCAACCCGAAACCGTCCGATTACAAACATGTATATATATTTTGTCTAAAAATAATTATTATTTTTCTCTAATATATATTATATTTAGCATATAATTATAAGGTGGCTACTTCGGTGCACTCACTTTTATGGGTGTACTCAGTGCACCCATCTCTAAAAGTGTCCATAGTACATCAAATTTTGAACTTTAATTAGTACTCTCAATCTAATATGATGATATGACAATGAATCATAACAAATGAATCTATTACCCTAACCCCTTAACCTTCAATTTTGAATCCCAATGCAAAATCCCAAACAGTAAACTTAAACCCTAACCCTAAACCCCTGAATCCCAAATCCTTCAAATTAAAGTAAATTTTAAATGATTTTTTTTTCAAATTCATGTGCTTCTTGTTTATAATATCATAAGCAACAATTGATACCGTTTTGACATGAATCGCATGCTCAGAATGATGATTATGAGGCGGGTGCACTGAGTGCACCCAAAAAAGTGGGTGCGCCGAATACGCCACCATAATGATAATATTTTCATAAAATTGTGTTATTTTAATTAATTTTCTTAATTCTAGTGAATTATTATCGTACTTTTCTTCTTACGTAATGTGAGTATACGTGTGAATGTTAACATATTGGTTAGAGTTATAAAGAGAATTTATTACCCATGGATAACCGGGGATACCCAAAACCCGAACGGGCATGAGCACGGTTTTGATTTTCTACCCGTTTCTCATATGTGCATGGGTATGGGTAAAACCCGAACTATTTTAGGTATGGGTAACATATACGCACTATCCGCCCCCAATCCGACTCGTTGCCATTCCTAGTTGTCTCGCCTTGGCTTTCCACGGTTTTGGATGCTCAAATGGTGGTGGGACTGTAGTTTTTAGAATTGTACTCTATTAATGTTCTGTTTTCATCGAAAAATATTGGGTATCGATCTCGAACCGGTAGGTAGACGGTTTTAGTGGTATTAAACGGTTGAACTACGATTTTGTTAAGAACCAGTTGATTTCAATAACTTCAGTTGTCGAAAGATGTCCAATTATGGATCATATACCACTTACAAATACACATTCTCAAACGAAAGCCGGCTCATATGGACTTGAAGTTTTCACTGACTCCGGATACTGTGTTCTTAACATAAAATACGAGAGTCATCAGAATCCGAACATAAAACCAGTGCTATTTCAATAACCAATTGATCCCAGTAGATTCGAATAGAAGAATCTAGCAAGTACTACAGGTCACCAATTTTGTCTACATTGCAAGGCTCGCCATGTGCATAAAATACATATACCGTCATTGATAGCTTCTTCACCATCGACATGATGACCTATATATGAAAAAGACTAAGCAACAGTACGTTCATTTTTCATTAGTGCACGGACACGTAGTAAATTCATATATATATATAAACCAAATGGAAGCATCAACCACCACACACAAAAAAAAAAAAAAACAAAAAATTACGACAATTCTGAAATGGTTATCCAATACTCTTCCTCATCGAATGAATGATGAGGAGAATTAATCACATATAATTGATCGAGTATGAGACGGTTATATTAATTTTTTTTTTTTACTATGACGACAATGGCGGATCGCACCCAACATTCAACTAGTTCACCATCTCCTTTCATGTTTATCGTGATGTTCATTCAACGTTATCCAACTTCGAACTCTCGTTTAAACTCATGTAAGAACAGATCTAGTCTTTTGAGGGAGACTTCAGAGACCTAGTTTTCAAGTTGCGACGACTCCAATAATTACTTGAAAAATAAATATACACATAAGATAATATATACGAGAGAAAAATTTTCTCCGACTCTAATCAAGCATTACATATGTAACGGCACCATGAATATATATAGTAACGTACAAAATACGTAGATCGATCACTCTCGTCTATGTATATACGTACTGCCAACCAACATGAATTTATACGGTACAGATAGACGGATAAATACACATGCATGCACACACGTACACGTACAAATGGGCTTTTACATTAAACGACGACGTAGTCCCAAGCGAACGGCCTGAAAACGGCGGCAGCTTCCCTCTCAATCAGCTCCAACTGCTCCTCAAACAAGTGCATGTACACCACCCAATCCCCGTTCCCCTTCGGGCACGGCATCGGCATCACGTAACCAGCCGCCCCGCCCCACGGGAAATGGTACGACCCGAAAACCGGCAGCCCAAACCCGAAATCCACCCGGCCCACGGGCAGCCCGCGCCCGGACGACACCACGAACGCGGGCCCATCCGCGTTCCCGGCGCTGTATATCTTCGACACCGCGGGCTCCGGCCTGTGTGCCTCCACCCAGTCGATCAGGCCCAGGAAGTGGTCCCGGCTCGCCCCGCCGGACAGAAACTCGTGGACCCCGCCCGCCACGTGTCCCAGCGAGTTCCCAACCAGCTCGCCCACGCGCTTCCCGCCGTACGGGATCGAGAGCACGTTCCCGACGTAGGATCCCATCTGATCGCCCAATCTGGACCGTCCATCCACGACAATCCCCATCTTGGAAACGACGTCGTCGTTTCCAAGCGTCGATCTCGCGACGAGCTGCCAGAGATACGCGCAGAAGGACTCGAGCTTCGAGAAGCGGTTATTGTTTTTGTTTTTGTTGTTGGTGTTGGCGAGGGATTGGAGGTTGAGGAGCGAGTCGGAGCTGACGTGGTAGATGCGGCTGATGAGGACGGAGGAGGGCGGCGGCGGCGGCGGGAGGGAGGAGACGGGGATGTACATGTCGTCGAGGGCGGCGGAGTTGTGGGAGAGCGGGCGGCGGGGGTTGAGCAAGGAGCGGCGGAAGGAAGGGAGGGTGGAGATGGGCCTGGATTGGGCCGACTCGGCCCACGAGACGAGGAACATGTTGAAGGAGTAGGCGTCGGCGATGCGGTGGTCGAACGAGCATCCCACTACTAAGCCTCCGCACCTCAGTTTCGTCACCTGCATGGCGCCGCCAAATTTAGAATTTCATCAGTTTCACGAGGCATTTAATTCACGCATTTTTGTGTTCGTTATAATTATTCATGTAATTCGATATTTATTTATGTAACGATTATTCATGTAATCAGATAAAAAAAAAATTTGCATCGAATAATAAGTAGGAATGGCAATGGGGCAGGTTCGGGGCGGGTATCTCGATACCCATACCCGCCCCATGGCAGGTCGGGTCCAGGTCGGGTAATTTATCACGGGGCGCGGGTCAGGGCAGGTCGACCCATTGGGTATATAATTTATGTGAAAAACATTAAAAATATTCATTATTTTCATTGAAAGACCAAGAAAAAAACCATAATATGATAAAATGTAGTTCAATTACTGAAGAAATTGAGGTTTTTCCTTATTTACAACTTTATTATAGTTAAAATATAATGTAATAAGAGGAAGATCTTAAGTAATTTGACTAAGATTATATGTAATTTAGGCAAGAACGGGTCCAAAATGGGGCGGGTCAGGGCAGGTTGGGTCGATGAGAGGTACCCATGCTCCCCCCGCGCCTACGGAGCGGGTTTGACCCGCCCCAAAACAGATCAAACAGGTCGGGTAAATCGGGTCAGGTCGAAATTGCCATCCTGATAATAAGCACTATTATTACATGAGTAAACACCAATATGACGCGAATAAGTAAAGCATTTACCTGAACAGCCAAAACGCCACCGTTTTTTAGGGGAACGAGCTTGCCTTCGACGGAGTCGTCGGGGTTGTACAAGTCGAGCTCCCTGAGTGCCACGTCAGCGTAGGCCTCGGAGAACTCGACGCCGCGGTTGTTGCAGAGAAGCTCCGGCTCGCCGCCGGAGCTCATCACCAACTCCCCGGCGAAGGCGTAGTACGAAACCAGCGCCTGCGCCAGGCCCTTCTTCAGCACCGCGGCGGCGGCGTCTCCGCCGCCGTGGGGGTAACAGAAGAACACACCGACGTCGACCGGCGGGAGGAGGAGGTCGAGGTTGGATAGCGGGAGCCAGTGCTCCTGGACCGGAAGCACCGCCGCCACCAGCTCCTTCTTCACCGCCGTCACGGCGAAACCGATGGACGGCGGCGCCGGCGTGGGCTGATGGGTGTTCTTGTTGGTGGTGATGTGGAGTTTGGTGGCGAGCAGCGGGAGATCTTCGGCTATCGAACCCATAATCCGTGTACGGATGTACGTGATTAAAGAGTGATTTAATTGTTAATGAGTGATTAGCTTTTTTGTGGTGGTGGTTTGGTTTGAGGCGGAGGTGGAGTGGGTTCGTGAGGGTGAATTTATAGGCGGGGATGATCACTTTTTTTTTCTTCTTCATACGTATCTCTGAGGTGAAGCTGAATAGATACGAATAATATACAAGACTTTTGTAGGTCAGGTAATAAAAACGAAGAAGAAAAAAAACACATTGATTCAAAAGTGACTGATAGAGCATGTTTTTTTTCCCCACACGATACGAACAACCACTGTTATCGGCGGCGGATCCAGGATAGGGTACTGGAGCACCGCGCCACATTTGAAAGGAGACGGAAAGAGGGCTGGTCTGGAACCCGACGAGCAATGAAACGAAGACCTAAAATCGAAATTTTTACAAGTGCTATACTGGCTCTGAATCGAGCGTAGGGCTGAGTCGTGGCACGGGGGGCGGGGCAGCGCCTAGATCCGCCACTGCGTGTTATATCTATAAGACGCGGAGTGGAACAAGACACACTGAAAAGAAGATGCATGGTAACACCTGGACACTACCTGTGAGCAGTGTCCATGAAACCGTACCGTACCGACGGTTCAACCACGAAATACCAGTATCGGAGGCTAAACCGGTAGGCGGTATTTAACGGTATAACGGTTGAACTATGGTTAAACCACGGTTTTACCATAAAATACCCTAAAACTTACTTTCCCGGTACGATCTCCGGTACGGTTTCATGGACGGACAACCCAAAAATTGAATTTTAATTATTGCAACAAAAAAAAAAATATATATATATAACTTTATTGACGTGAATATTGTGAAGTTGCGAACTATACATATCACCTAATCTTAACTTGTAAAATTTATTTTAATTTACACAATTATAAGCTTTCAGTCAAATCATTAAAACTTGAAAGCTTGCACTCTATATTCTTTCCATTGATCAATCGGTCTGCAGTCCTTACAAAAATATAATTTGTGTTTCTTGTTTTTACTCATATCATTCAAGTTTTTGGGTTTCGGTTTTCACAATGTGGAAAAGAGCTACTAATTAATTAATAACATAACTTATTTGTTATTTTACATAAAGTCTTGTTCGAGTCCAATTGACCCTTTATATATATACGGTATTTTGTGCGAACTTTAAGTTAGCTAGTTGATTTGTATTTGAGATGGATAGTCAATGATACAAGATTTTATAATTATCTTCAACATTTCGATCAATTGATACTAGATAATTCTCGAAAATTATCCACCTCAATCATTAATTCTTAAAATATAATTTATTTTTTTTTATTTTTTTTCCTTCTCGCCTTCTAATAATGCACTTACTATTTGCGTACACATGCAAGTGGGATTTATGGTAATGGAAACTTGGTGCGATATAGTGATAATCACCTAATCTCCACTTGTCGTTGTGAAAAAAAAAAATTCTAATTAAGATCCACTTGTGTTTATATATGCATATATAGTAGCAAGGTCAACCGTTGGTCTCCTAACAACTTCAGGGACAAATTAGTAATTATATCCAGCTACACACCGTATATATTGGTCAACAGATTTTCTTAATGGTGTGCGCCTGTCGCTCGGTACGGTGTATTAATTCGGGAAACCGGCGCGTATTGTATTTTTATTTTGTTACTTGTTGTCTATCCTCTCGAATTTAGTACTAGTATCTTTGCCCGCGCCTCCGCGACGGGATCTAAGTTAAAAAACAAATTAATACATAGTGGTTCTGGATCTCTTGTGATGTATTATGCTCAACAGTATGATAGAACTTGTGAAACTGGTTCATGCTCTACTGCTGCAGGAATGATGACTGTAAAAGCAAAGAATTATGATGAAGTTGCAGGAAAGCACGCTTGATCTCATTAACAGTCGGAATCTTGAATGTTGTGATGGTTAATTAATTTAACAAATTGTTTACTTACACAAATACTTAGAACTGAAGTTTTTTCATCATGGGAAATTACTAATACCTATCATGAGTACTAACTGAAGGGAAAAAAACATACATGAAAGCCTATATGATTCGATGAGCAACCAAGTTTAGAAAGAGGTATCGTTTGATAATTAACATTACATTATTACCCATCCACAAAACTACAAAAGAATATATACAACATTAGATAGATAAACTACATCTAAGAAACAGACAACAAAATCGATATAATCTTTAACCACACCTCAGTGATAAAACCATATAGCTTGGCAAGAACGTTTACAACTTGACAACCAACCAAAAGTATTTCCAAGAATAGCATCTGGCTTTAGCTCCAATGTCATTGGATAGAGAATAAACAATAATGGCCTGGGTATACGAAGAGGAGTAGAGAGATTCCATGAAAACACCACAAAAGCAAAGATTAACTATCAGAAGGAAGATGAGAGAATTTCAGGAGCAGACCATTTTGATTCTCAAATACAAAGACCACTGGCGAGGTCCCACTTCCCTTTCAATGGGAGCAAACCAGAACTCTACATAGTGGGATAATAGAAGGTGAAGCATAACGAAAGAAATGGAACCCATTAGGCTCCTTGTAACCTTGGGACTTCCGTTAGCCACACACCATCACCAACGACACGATTTATCTTCAACCAACCGCAGGTCACACCGCACGAAATCCGACCAGAAACCCATTTAAGCGCAAGCAAGCAAACCCATCGAGGTGTGCAAACTGCATACCAATCAAGATCAATACGAAATTAGAGAGCTTGAAAGAAGAAACAGTAAGAAGGGGAGATAGACAAATTCATCAAACGGAGAATAGGTGAACAATTTTGTGAACCCAAAACAGAACCTAAAAATCTAGTTCTTCTCAAGACCACAATTAGAGCTCCCATCTAAGTGAATCAAAACTGAAAAACCAAAGAAAGAAAAAAGAAGGACCAAGAGTTTATTGTTTGGTTCCAGGGTATTAACATATATCCATGAATGTGTCGAAAACCTCTGATATCGGCCATTTCTTATTTTCCACTCCACTTGAGAATCTGGCTCACATCCAAACCCTCGCTTAAAACTTCTGCCTATCTGGGGTAGAAACAGAGGATAGACTCTTTGAGAAAAGAGATGAGTGAAATCAACGTAGAGAGGAGTGAATAAGAAAAAAGTGAGAAAGTGGGGTATAACTCAAAGGAAGAAACGAATAAAAAGTAATGTTGTCTACCTTCTTCCTTCTGCAAAAGAAGTGTGATCCTGATCGGCAACCGAAAATGGAGCTGGCGTTGATCGATACGCCCCTGTGGGACTTTTTAACGAACGGCCTAAAAGCCCTGCAGCGAATCATGGGTTCTCATCCATGCAGTCACCTGGTCTTACTGGCTTCTAGTTAGAACTCGTTGACGACATCTCCCCTGAAAAAGCCATCAAACAAACCCTTTGGAGGAAGAAAGAGAGAACGAACTCATCCCAAAAGAGGGTAAAAGAACACATCACTGACAAAGAGAACAATACCTGCGGACCTAGATCTCCTCGCAATCATCTCTAGACCTCAACATAGAGATTGAGAAAACAGTCCGGTTGAACAACCAACGATATGAAGCCTTTTCATATTTGCTTTGTAGTCCCCGGGTCCTCATTGCATCACTTGAACTGAATGAAAACAAAAATTAGAACCACAAAAGACCTCATATCAGAACCTAGGAGAACAAAGATAGAAGTACCTGTGTTTCTTGGGATTCTTGCGATTCATCACCACCGGAGATGCTCAGCGGGGCTCCGGTGTTTGGCCACATCGACGGTGTTTAGAGAAAAGAGGGAGAAAAGAGAAATACGAAAGAGAGATTGAGCAGTCTTGGTTGTTGTGGAGAGAGAGAGACGCACAGGGAGAAAAGAGCCACCTGCAAGAGGGGGCTTCTTTGGACACTACGCCGGGTAGGTAAAATATAAATACCAAAATCAAATAGCTAATAGCTCTACGTGGCTCTAAAATCCACCTCTACCTTTTCTGTTCTCCCCTCTCAAGACTGCTTTATGGCTTAACCGGGGGCCATTAAAAACCGAGAAGCAAAGGTTTAGCTACAATTACCTTCACCCATTCTCTGAGGAGTGAGGATGCACAGCCTCCCAAGAGCCCTCAAAAATCGAGAAAGCAAAAGAATAAAAAATAGATATATTCAGTCTCCAGCGACTCCCAACGTCTCTGCAGTGAAAGGAAGAAGGCAATGACTTGTCTCCATCAGCAACCCTCCCTTCCTCTCCCAATCTCTGCAACGAAATCAACAAAACAAAATTCGGTTTGATAAAGAAACTCAAAGATACACTGTGACCAACGCAAAGATCACTACGATCACACCAAACAAAAGCAACGAAACTATAAGATGGCAACTGGACATCGCCTCAATAGCTCAAAGTGAACTGACCATCTATGTCAGAGTCCACTGAACAACCAGAGTAACAACCAATCGGAACTCAGTGAACAGGAAAATTAGGTCTAAATGAACAGTGTAAAGTAGTCTAGATGTACAGTGCCAGTTGTTTTCAGCCATTATACTTTTAATGTGGATTATTAGAACCAACCAATAATTGAAATTTTCTGATATATGAAATTTAAATTTTCTTAACAATTATATAACGAACCGAAAAGATGTAGAAAATATAATTGTCATATACATATATGGTGGCTACTTCGGTGCACTCACAAAAATTAGTGCATTCAATGCACCCAACTCTAAAAGTAGCCTTAAGACATAATTTTTTTTATTTTAATTGGTAAGATTAGTGTAATATGATAATATAATATAAGATCACAACTAATCAATGCATTACCCTAAGCCCTAAACCTTCAATTTTGAACTTTTGTCCTAAACCCCAAATCATGAACCCTAAATCTATAAATCATAATTTCTTCAAATTAATGTAAATTTTGAATATTTTTTGTGCTAACTCATGGGGTTTCTTGTTCATCGTATCATACGTGATGATTAACATTGTTTTGACATGAATCACATGCTCATAATGACAAATATGAGT